TATGATGTAAGAAGTTTGCTAACCAAACTGAATGTAGTTTGGTGCTCTGTAGTTGCCAAGAAAATTCTCAATGACATCCTTGAATGCTTTCCAAGAAATTTTATCTGGCTCTTTGAATTGCTTGTCATTCATGCCTTCTTTGATGCTGGCATCAGTTATTCCTGGAAACATTTGTCTCAAATAATGAAAACCTTCTCCTTCCTTATTCATGACTTTCACAAAATTTTTCATCAGTCCAAGTTTTAAGTGGAGGCAAAAACATCTTTGTTGAGTCAACAAGTGATTTATGTTCCACAATATTCTGTCCTGGAACCAAATTCTTCCTGAGTGGCCATTTCTTTTTAATGTAATTAAAAGCATGGCTATCCCATTCACATATGTAACAACAGTACTTGGTATACCTGAGCTGCATTCCAAACAGCAGAGCCACTACTTTTACATCTCCACAGATATTCCAGTTGTACTTGATAAACTGGATAAGCTTAAACAATAGTTCCGTGTTTTTGTAGTTTCTTTCAAATGTACAGCATAGCCAACAGGTACTGAAGGGTTTATCTTCTCATTGTGTAACAAGACAGTCCTGCGACTTAACACTGATAAATCAGTAAAATGACACCATTCTAGTGGGTTATACTCATAACCCAAACCATCAGTATCAATAAGAAAACTAGATTGTACATCTGTGTAAAGAAATTGGTTAAATCATCTTGGCAGCTTTGAAAGACAGAAATGTTCATACGACAGCAACCATCATCCTTTCAATCTTGAACCCAGGAGTTCTACTTTTGATTTTGACAAACATTAAATCTCTGATCAGTTTGTTTGAGTTATGAAATGATATTCACCAGATAGATATACACAACTCAAAATCCATATCATTGTCACTGCTTGTACCTGACTGGTACATTGCAGAATCTTCATCTGTTTCATCTAAGCTGTATTTCTCTGGTGGCTTTGATACTGATAGATTGTCATCATGTGGCACTGGACTCCTGGCTGAAGGCAGATTTAATTGATTTCTTATTTTTAGCAGAGAAACTAGTGGCATTAGTCAGATAGAGGTAATAGTCAGTCACGTGATCATTCTATTCTTGCCATATCATTGGGAGAACAAATAGCATTGTCTTCCAAGTTCCTTTGAGCCAAGCTCTAAGATCAACACATCTTGCACAAATAATGTGAGGAACTCAGGCCTTGTCTTGATCATCAATCTTACACCAAAGTACAGTTCATATGCTTTCTTAGTCCAGTCATGGTGCATCTTTGAGGCTTAAACATATATTCATCACAAATGTAGCACAATGTATTACGGCTGTTCGACATTGGTGAGACATTTCTGCCATTGCCAATCATCCTATAGCAAGTCTATAACTGGCTTACTTGTTATGTAAATTACATGTACATAGACAATGCTATGCCTTGAAACAATTGCATCATAATACATGGAAACTGATATCAACAAAATGAATAGCATTTGTGCTTGTGAGCTGCTTTTATAGCATTTCCAGGCAGCATCCTTCCAGCCTCAGCATGCCTAGGCATGTCCAAGTTGTACCAGATCCAGAAATGTTATGCAATATGCTGACTGCATGCCTGGACATGCATAAGCTACCAAAGCATCTTATAATGCAAGCAAAAAGTAGTGAAATTGAAATACATCTAAAAAGAAACTGCAAAACAGAAGATTTCTAGAAAACTGGATGTAATAGGTAAAATTACAGGTTAGTTTCATGATTAGCAGCCAAAAATCTACAAGATACATCTGAAAGTGTTCAAAAAGCAAACTCTGTTGACCAGTGTTACCAATCATTTATAAGTCAAAGAGTTATGATTTCTTGTTGCTTGTTAATTTTAAACTTCTTAAAATTTAAGCTAAGTTGAATATACCCACTCAAGAATAAGATTAAACAGAAATCTAATTTTTCTTTGTAAAAATACGTTAGCCCATTATCTCAAAGATTACATTTTATATACTTTTTCAATTTTAAAAAGTGTTCAACTGTGAAGAATGAAAAAAATTACAAGAGGTTCTAAATGAATTTAAAATATATGACTATAAACTTAAATTCAGTTATAGTAGTTACCTTTTATCCTTAGAGCAAAATTCACTTTTTTTTGAGGAAATATTTCCTTTAAAAGTATACTTACTGAAGGATCTCGATCAATGTTAAGCCTGGGCAACTTTTGCATTAGAAGTACACTTACCTTTGATAATGGACAAAATGAAGATATATTCAGCTTTATCCAATAGCAAAGACTACAACAAGTATATTAAGACAGCAGTACTTGTCATCCTTTTACATGCCTCTTTAGCACATTTATTTTTATTTAAAAGTAAGGAAAGTCTTTGCATCCACTTTTCCTCCAATTTAAAACAGTATCAGTGTTTCTTTCTCCATTCCATTTTTTGTGATATATTGACAGAAAAGGTGAAGTTAAGGTTTAAGGATGATTATAATCCAACTCCTTTAGATATTACTATAATAATACAATCACTGGTTATCCCCCATTCCCCAAATACTGGGACAAAAAAAGCCCCAAATGAGGTCAGAATTAAGAGGGGGAAATCTTATATGGCCCAATTCAGATTCCCTGATGGTCACTGGGAACCTTAGAATTTGTCTTTCCTGGGATGTTAGTGCTTTGTATTACCAAGAGTAAAAGATGAAAGTTGCCTTCTCTTATGCCTTTGGGAACATTAATAGCTGTGTGACAGAAAATGTGGTCACCTTTACCCCGTTATACAAGGCTGACCTGTGCCTGTTGAATATCCGTTTATTAATCAACTACGAAGAGGCATAAAGCTCTAACAGAAAAAGATGGCCTCTCTACGGGTCAAACAAGGAAGAGGGAAACCTCGAAATCAGCGGGGCCTAAAGAATTAGGTCCTCCATCTTCGGCCGGCTGAGGCTGGAGCCAAGTAACCCAGCAGAAAAGCACAGTTGCCCCTCACAGGGAAGAAGGCTGCGAACGTCAATATTTCGCCCCGCAAACAGTTCGCGTCAGACGTTCACGCGTTAAAAACAGCTGTCCTCTCTCTTCCGGGAGTTTCCAATAATCAATCCAGGTTTGGGAAATCCCCGGGTCACGCACCCCTCCTGCCCTACCCCACGCACCTTTCTTTGAGGCCAGGCTGGACTGGGACTCGCCTCAGCAGCAGGGATGACAGCAGCGACACCAACGGGATCCATGTTGGACGGAAAAGGAAGCAAGCCGAAGGCACGCAAGAGAGAAAAAAACCAGCAGAACCGGAGAGCAAAAGCGATGGAATGAGTCTCTTTCCGGCTTCAGGAACTTCCCGAAGCTTTTCCCGCCCCCTACTAGTCGGCGGCGGCTGTTCATTGGCTCCAAAGCCAAATTCTCCAGCCCAGCGGTTGAGCCATTTCCTCTTTTGGAAGGTCGCTTTTCTTTTCCCCGCCTCCTTGCCGCCATTGATCCCGCCCTCTCTCCCTCCTCCCTATTGCGTTTAATCGTTTCGAGGGGTTTTGATATTTCGTTCCTTTCGGAAAATGTTTAAAAAAAAGCCCCCTTCTTTGGCTCGAGTCCTCCCTGAGCTTGAATAGATGCAGGATCAGGGAACCGTTGAATAAACGGTCATAATGGTTTCAAAACAAAAGCGGGTTTTGTGCTTTTGAGTAAAAGTTCATAGAGCACCAAAGACTCCACAAAAGCAGTTCGTTAGTACAACTGTGTTACGCTTAGTCTCTGGGCTAGAAATCAGGGAATGGATGTTTGTATCAATCAGTAGATTGAGTGACAGGCTGAACAGCCATTAATGCTATCTCTCTTTTTTTCTGTTTTGATTAGTCTCCTAATAAAGAAGTATTTGACTTCTTTTAGCTTTCCGTACACACATGCAGAGAAAAAGCTCTTACTAGTATCAAATAAATAAATAAATAAACAAGCTTAGTAGTATCAAATAAATAAATAAAACACGAATGAAGCAAAGATGCCACAGATTTTAGTGTATGATTGTGCTGATCCGTGTCACAAACTATTCTTCACACTGCTTTAATTTCAGGACCCGGAAGACATTGTAGTTCAGTTTTCCCTGCATCCTAAATGTAACATGACAAGTTAAAAGGTATAAATAAAAAAAGTATTGGATTATGCACTGCTCACAGGAGTTCTATTATTAAAATAATATGAAGGAACAGACAGCAATGGTATCCAGAGGCAGCAAAAACAGCAAAGAAACCTTAAAATTAAATTAATTATAAAATCAGCATACACAATAAAATAAATTTTAATAGACCAAAATATTGGCTGTAATAAAGCTGTAGCTTTGGGGAAACCACAAGTCTCTCTCTTTGTGATGGATATCAAGTAGAGATGAATGGTGTCTTAAAGTTCCTCAAAGATGGATTGCTTTTATCTGAGAGTAACAAACAAATCACAGGCATTTTGAATTGATGTCCTATTTCAGCCTTTTTAAAAAATGTAGGACCTTAGACTTTTTCTTGTATTTTCCATTGTTTTCTCTAATTCTATCATATCCCATTTTGCATTTTGAAAATCTTAGTCAAAATTATGCTGACAAGTTTCTAAGACAGCATGCCTTTTCACAAATATCAGCTATACTCTGCCAATCTATTCCTTTGATCTAAATCCTTTCTGAAAACAGCTGGATTACAGACACTTTCTTTGCTCTGGAAAAGCAGTTTCAAGACTCCATATGGGTGTCTCAGGGAGTCTGCAAAGTCAAATAAATAAATATGTTTACATTTCTGGTTTAATTTCTAATGCAGTATATATCAATAGTTATAATCCATTAACTTTGGTTGTCTTCAATAAACCCAACTGGCTTTCAGCGGTCCTGAGACCAAAATACTGCTCCAGAGCAGTATTTCTCAACTTTGGCAACTATGAGATATGCGGACTTCAACTCCCAGAATTCCTCAGATAGCATGTCTAGGTCTAGTTGAGAAATGCAGCTTGGAGGGAGCACTATCCCTTTAAGAAGGCTGTTCCTCGGTTCCTTTTCTTTGCGCTCATTGGAGCAAAGGCATCAGCGACGTGTCCCTGTTATGGCAGCCACATGCAGCCAGACGGAGATGCTTTAACTCTGTTTCAAGCCTGGTGACATGCGTTGACTGATGCCTTTCAAGAGACCTGCCACTGGTCTTGCTTTCTGTTTGTTCTACTTGAGTTCTTATTTCACCAACAAGGTGAGGATGAAGGAGCTACCAACGACAGTATTATAAACTGATCATTCTGTATTCCTTTTCCTCTGGTTGGGTTTGGGGTGGTCTACTTAGGATTCCAACATTTCAGTGGAGTTCAAGGGTTGCCCGATGTGTATGTCTTCATGATTAAAACCTGCTTGTAGAGGTTCGCTTTTTTGTGAAATCTGACTCGGTAGCGCTTTGTATTTGAACACCGCGGTTCCTTCATTCAGTCCATCCGGCATCCTGCCTGACAATGAGAATTGGGGAAGAGAACAGTGGGAAATCCACCGTCTTCAGGGGACAGTCTGTGAAGGAAGATTTCAGCTGATTTAATTCACAAAATGCACAATTTACATGGAAGATAAGTTCTCCAAGTTTCAGTGGGACTTAATATCAGATAGTGATTGCAGTCTAGAAGTCAAATGCCCTAGTAAAAGAAAAACTGTCTCTAGCTGAGTTTGACACGTTGAATTACAAACTAGTAAATAAATACTAGTAAAGCTAGAAAACTCTAGCTGAGTCTGACACTCTGAACTTCAAACCAACCAACCACATTTCAGCCTAGTATATTGAGAAGTTCATATAGTTAGTTTATAGTTCAGTGTTCAATGTAAATCTGGAAAGTGAAGTGAATAGGGTAAATTATTGGTCAGTTAATATAGATATGATAATGAAAATAGCCTTTTATCTCAATTTTTCGGAAACACACACAAGCTATCAAATTAATATTGGTCTCATAATCATTGAGTTGAGTCCAATGCCCAGTTCAGTCCTGGAATTCAAATTAAGGATCCTTAACAAATGGCTGTCTAGTCTCTGTTTGAACATCTTCAGGGGACAAAAGCCAGCCAAAATCTGTGAATAATTGGTTCCACTATTTCACTTGGTTCTTGTTAAGAGTCCATACACACACCCATTGTTATCTCATGGGAGATAATTTTGATATGACCAGTCTACAGTATAGTAATGAAGGGAGCATGCATACAATTGATGATTCTCTCCTCAAAATGTGGCCTTGCTGACTTTATATTCTGAAACAACATGGTCAATTATCAGTTATTCATTATTTTCCTTTATTTTTCTTTATACTGAATCAGCATTCCAGGATCTTCACCTTAAATTTATACTCTTACTGTATCTTAACAGCTGATTACTTGTCTCCTCATTTCACAAAAGTAGATCTAAATATTCTGTGATAGGGAGAGGAATGTGTTCATTTAATACATAGTGTGTTAGTCAATTACTGGCCTTCTAATTTTATGTTATACAATTATTGGCTTCTAATTTTGGGCATGAAGCTACATACATCTTCAATATGTGTGGCTTGTCCATGGTCACTTTATGATAATATAATGAATGCTCTCAGTATTACATTTTCAAATACAATTTTCAAAACAAAGTGAGGATTGTTGTTGTTGTTGTTAATTGCGAAGTTGTGTCCGACCCATCGCGACCCCATGGACAACGTTCCTCCAGGTCTTCCTGTCCTCTACCATCTTCTGGAGTCCATTTAAGTTCACACCTACTGCTTCAGTGACTCCATCCAGCCATCTCATTCTCTGTCGTCCCCTTCTTCTATTGCCCTCAATCTTTCCCAGCATTAGGCCCTTCTCCAGTGAGTCCTTCCTTCTCATTAGGTGGCCAAAGTATTTGAGTTTCCTATTCTTTTATTGACTATGAAGGCTACTCCATTTCTTCTGAGGGATTCTTGCCCACAGTAGTATACCTGATGGTCATCTGAGTTAAATTCACCCATTCCTGAAAGTGAGGATACACTCAGGAAATGAAGTATGTCTTTATAATATCATTCAGACATAATTATTCATTAGATTTCAATTTGCCTTTATTTTTTACAAATCTAGGTGGCATACGTAATTGTCCCACTTCCTATTTTCCCCAAAGCAACAACCCAATGAGGTATGCTGGAAAAAGTAATAACTTAAAATCACCCAGCCAACTTTTGTGCTTAAGGATAAATCAGAATTCACGAGCTTCTAATTTCCACTACTAGCTTAAACATCTTTTTAGCCAATAAAAATGATAAAGCTTTTTTAGGCCAGTGAGGTCTATGAAAAAAATCCAGAAAAGAAAGAAAAGAAGAGTTTTCAGTGAGCCATCATAGTGAATTGTCACCCTTCTAGAATAGGCTGAAAATGGTCCTCAAATATGGTCTTCAAAATTTGAGCTGCCGAAATCTCTCCAGAATAAGGAGAAATTGCAAGATTATTCATAGGTATTCCAGACAGCTGGGTTTTTGTGTGAGCAGATTGCAGGAATTGTTTTTTTGCAGTTGGCTTGTGCTTAGCTGGGAGTTGCAGGATTTCATTGTGCTTATAGCCATTAACATTGCCTGTATGAACTTTAAGTTTGACTGAGGCTCAACTTTTAATCTCTATGGATTTGATTTTGTTTTGGGTTTTTGCTATTTTTTAAAGTTTTTTTTAAAAGATCGAGAACATTCAGACTGGCAAATTTTATTGAAATCATTGGCTGTGTTTTTTTTCAATCTTTTAAAAGCAAAAAGTTTAATTAAAAATATAAATATATGTAACAAAAAGTATTTTTGAAATACACAGCAAAAGGATGATTAACGTTGGCTTTAGAAAGTTCTAAATAGATTAAGGCTCAGATGGGCTTGATTTAAAACTTTGAAGTTAATTGAAATAATTGTATTTATACTTCAAAATAATTGATATGATGATTTTGAAAGATGGCTACCTTAAAATATATTTTTGGGACATGATGAATGGAAGTTTTAAAGTTATTTAACTTTACAGAAAAATTAAAAGATGTTATAAAAGTGATAAAAGTTGCCATACTGGAATTACAAAAGGGACTTGACAAAGATGCCAAGAATTTTGAGAGAAGAGATAAAGCATGAGAATTTGTTAGAATATTAGAATTCTCTTTGAGGAACTTAAAAATTATTGGGACAAGGAAGAAAAAAATACACACTTGATTTAATGGTTTTTTTTAACTAGGATTGGATGATGTTTTAAAGATTTTGTTTAATTGAGATGAAATGGGGGTATATGTTTAAATGGAGATAAATATGAAAGGAAGGATTCAAATTGGGTGTTACAGATACAGTTAGTAACAGTTATGTTATTTCTGATAAGCCTTAATGGATTCTTGCTGATTAATGTAGACAGATGAGGTTTTAGAGATGGATTTATAGAAATTGGGGTGATGTATGGGATGAAGAGATGTTGGTTTTACTTTAGGAAATACTGATAAGTTGTTAATGTCAACTGGAGATGAAGGAGGAGGTTTCCTTTTCTTATTTTTCTTTTTTCTTCCCCCTTCTTTCTTCTTTTTGTTTTTAATGTTTTACTTTTTAATATATTTCTGTACCATGTAGGTTGTACTATTAGTTTTATTTGTATAATATAATTTTCAATAAAGTTATTGGGAAAAAAGACAACATCTAGTAAAAGTGATAAAGAGCAGATACAACCTTCTGGAGGTTGTGACTGTCCATAATCATAATGGTAGCTCTTTGTGTGAATGATCTAGTCCCCATTTCTACTATGCCTATTGGGTCATAAAAGTATGCTATGATTTATATAAAATATATTTTCATGCATGTGTATAAATAATATATAAAATTGTGTTTTCTGATTTTTCTAGTATGTCCTATCTGTCCTGAAATTCACCTATCCAACACTTTTTCAAGGGTAAGCATAATTTCATATATACATGAAAAAGAAGTATTTAACCAATGGGGATTGAACCAGAGAGAAGCTAATCTTTGTACTGCATGTTTTCCAATTACTATTTTTCCTCACCTAGAGAGCTCTTACACTATTATGCTTACCTAGTACCCTCTGGACTACATTTCCTATTAGTAAGCCTGATTGCTGACCCTCCATGCTATATTATATCCTAATAACAGTAAGTTGTGGGAATAATGTATACATGCTTTGTTTTCATTTCTATTGATCACAATAAGAAAGATTATCCTGGTCTGTAGATGTGATGTGCAAACATGGTTTGCATACCATATTAAGCTACGGTTTCATATCTGGGCTGAAAAAAATTGAACACTAAATTGCAGCAGAGATACAGAAAACTCTAACTTTGTTACTACTATCTAGCAGTAACAGCCCAGATATAGTAGCTCCAGTGCTTTTTTTTTTTTTTTAAAGGAACACACGTCATACAACCTGCCTTGCCTACCCTACAAGGTTCCATCCAAAAAAGGTGCCGGAACTCCGTTCTGGGCGTTCTATGAGAAAAAAAGCCCTGGGTAGCTCTATACTCAACTATGGTTCATTATAAAGCCACTGTTTGTTAGATTTATACAATTCGCTAAACCTATGGTGTCTTTCATCACATATTAACTCAAACTGAACAAGTGCAGTTTGTGGTTACATGTGTGAATAGGGAAGAAGAAAAAAACAAGCCATTCTTAATGTTACAGAGCTTTTGGTATATAGTTAAGATGTGAATAGTTTGACTATAGGGCAGGGGTAGGCAACCTTGGCTCTTTTATGACTCGTGGACTTCAACTCTCAGGAATTCTGGGAGTTGAAGTCCACGAGTCATAAAAGAGGCTAGGTTGCCTACCCCTGCTATAAGGGGATTAAATGGATCCAGTACCTTAATAAAACTAATAAAACAAGATTTTTTCTCATCTATCTGTTTACAAAAACGAGAGGAAAATGGCTTGAAATGTATTTGTCATTGTATATATCTAAGGTCTCATACTGCTTATTTCCATTTGGTTCTTACTCAGTGTACCAACCTTATGATTTAATTTAATCTACATACTCCCAGAAAAAGAGCTCAGTTTTTCATCACATGTGATAGAAATATAAAAATGTCTTCTGTGTCATTTACAAACATATGTTCTTTGATAAGAAGGGGTTATTGAAGTGTATGTTCTCATTATTGGACATGTGCTTTCCAAGCAACTTGTCCACACTTTACCACTAATATTCAGTGTAGGCCTAGGAAAGACTCCTATCAAAAGTCCTAAGGGCTCCTATATTACAAAATTAGATGGATAGCTTTGTTCCTAAGTTCCCAAATAATTGAAAAAAATCCTCTAATAATAATAATAAAAAACCCAGCAGGAATCCACATGAATGGCAATGGCAGCACACTCTGAGATTTAAAAAAAGCATAAAGCCTCTGTTGCTAGAAACTGAAATTTCACATCCTATACATTTTACAGAATCCAGGAGCCTCCATTACAGATTATAAATATCACATTTTTTTTAAACTTATATTTTTTCCACATGTGTTGTAATTGCAGGTGGCAGACACTTGTTGGTGGAATTCTCTTACATGTTTCCTGGAAAATCGGCTGGGTTGAGATCAGCAGCAGTTCAAGGTATAGGTGAAAGTGAAGCATAAATAAATAAACCAATGTTAACAAATAGTCTCTGAAGTACAATATTTAGATTAATATCCAATGAGAGATATATTATTTTACCATATACTTTAATTGTATTCTGAAGTGGAATTTTTAGAAAAGACATTTTTTAAAAATTGTTTTCGTTATTGGGATGTTTTATGTGCAATAAAACTAAAACAAAAGAGATTTGATCAAATCATCCTTGCCACCTTGATACTTTTGACACATTTATCTATCTATTTTTGACTTTTCTCCTACATTCATGAAATTCATAATTCCTATTTGGATCAAATATGCTGCATGATATATGCATCATAGGTGTTTTTCTACTACTAAAATTGCCATAAACATTGATCAGATTTCTCAATTCCATGAGAGCTAAAAACACTAGCAAACATAACAACCCTGTTTCTTGAATGTCAGCAACATTCCAGTGAAAAACTCTTCACAATATTTATTAGTTTGGGTTATTATTTGATGAAGGCTGGGTTTCCAGGGAAAGGAAAATCAAATTTAATGTTAAATAAGATAAATTCATGCTGGATTCATATTGATTCCTGTCAGCATTATCATTTTAGTTATACCTGAAAGTAAATATGGGTGGATGTAGGTGGTTATTTATATGCAAATAAAATGCTAAATTGTGGCATAATTTTATGCAGCAAATTTTTAACTTCTGTTCTCTTACCCTAGTACAATCTGTTTTAAAAAAGAAGCAGCAACATTGGATGCTTCCAAACTTTTATTAACAATCTCATTTTAGGGGTTTAAGAGAGACAACTTTTTCTTCCTCTTACAATTTTTTCAAGTTTTTTCACTGAGGTTTTTTCATGCTTTGTTCCATAAAAAATACTGCAGTTTGAAATATGCACAGTGCCTTTTGACTGGTGATATTTCAAAATATCCCAATCATTTTGTTCATCATTTGCTTTACTATATTTTTTTAGATTTGGAGCCATGAGTTTTACCCCACTAGATGTCAGTGTAATTTAAGCCAGAGAATAACGATTGTTATGCCATAGTTCAGCAATAAAAGCATCTATGTTCTATATATCTGAAAAGAAGAGGATATTTGTGTACTATAAAAGTCAACATCATCACTTTTGATTAAATCTAAAGACAAATAAGCATGCAGACAATACATAAGAGGAGTTTTTCATTAGATTATCAAAACCGTTTTGAAAATTTTTACAGGCTGTTACTTCTAGTATTGTGCAAAGTAGAGATACTTGACAAAATTCACTTCCTATCTCTATGTTAAAAGAATCCTGTCTACCAAAAAAGGTCATAGACTTTCCATAGTTATGGCAGAAAGCCTTGAAACAGTTGTGTGAATCTTCCACATCAGACATTTGCTTTAACTAACACACTTTGTAATGCACTCTGTATGACTGCTCTGCACAGGCTTACTAACTTCTAAATAGTCTTCAAAGGCAGCTCCATGTACTGTAGTGTGTATAACAGTAATTCAATTAAATGGTTACATGGATGACTTAGACCACTTCAATTTTTATATGTAAGTAGAATTCTCCATCAGTAAATATGCTAAAAGACGTAGTTCCTCCCTGAGAATTGAGCAAATCTGTACATATTAATGAAATGCCTCAATGATAAGGAACTTTTTTTTCTGAGGGAATGTGTCATTAATATAGACAAAATTACTCTCTCTTAATTTTTGAATCAGCCATGATCAGCTTTTCATACCAGATTCCTGTTTTGAGTGTTTATCCTATAACCTCAATCTAATTTGTGGACTGCTGAATTTTGCTTTAGAGTTGATCACTCAGTATAACTGAACAAGTGGGCTAATTATTGGGGCACAGATTTGCTATTTGTAACTGTAGCACAGAGGTGCTTTGAAGAGTAAATATATTTGAATAAACCTTGAGCTTAAAGACTCTCCCACCAGGCATGTACTGCAGTCTTTCAAATCCAGAATTGAGTAAATTTTATGTAAACAATTGTTAATTTATTCCAAAATGTTAATATCAGTGTGAAGTAAATTCTAAAATTTATACTGTAAAGTACTCTATCTTCTATATTTCTGTCTGACAGTTACCAGCCTTCATAGTCTTGTCCCACAATCCCTCTGATTATCAACTGGATAATCCAATTCAAGAAGAATGAACATAGAAATGTCAAACATAATTACTGAGACAGTGCTTAAGTGATGAGTTCTTTCCTCTCTTCAACCATTTTGCCATTTGCTTTCTTCAAAGTATGCTTTGCCTTTAGAGATGCTATGAATGACGAATGGTTGTATCAGCCACTTTGGATTTCTCTTAGTTTCTTATTTCTGTTCATGTTATATTTCATTAATTGAAATTATTTTTTCTGGATGGATTTTTTAAAAATATATGCAGTTGTTTGGTTTTTTTTAAAAAAACTAATATTGTAATTTTGTATACTCTTTTATAACCCACAGTTTTATGCTTGTTGCTGAGCTGTAATGTGAAATTGGGAGAATTGTGAATTTTAAATTAATTTTCAGTTTAATTATCATCTTTTACATTACTAATTTTCTCCGTATTAATTGCAATAACATTGAAAACCATCATTTTATAATATAATTTATTTTCTATAAGTATAGCATGGACTGAAATATCCAAGAATTGAAAGTTTGCTTTGATATAGGTATATTCTGTGAAGCTTTTCTTTTCTATTCTGTTCCTCTGAATGGACAGGCAAAGAAGGCACCTTAAATAGTTTCTAAATGAACTTGGCTTTTAAGTTCATTAACAAAGGAAGCCTGAATTGCTTTTTGTTTGGATACTGATTTTTTTATTGATGCTTTTGATTTTTTCATTGAACAGTTATTGTCAAGTTTCATTGTGAAAAAGTAATAATAGAACTGCAGTTTTGATCTGTCATCCCCAAGTCACTGATACAGTGACCCTTTCTATTTGTGTAATATTACATATTTCTTTCTTACATGTTAAAAATATACAGCCCAGAGCTTCTATAGTCATTATAGCAGACTCCGATTTTCACCATTTGTATGATTTGGCCCATAAGAAGGATTGCTGCTAAAGCATTTCCTGTAGTTGTAGACATTCTTTCCAACCCTCTTGGCAGTACAGAATTCAGTTGTTACATCATGGGAACAACGTTTGTGCCCTTTTCCATTGCTTCTTATATGGCCAAGGATTCTTAAAACTTCACACTGTGGTCAGTGATCTCTATGGAGATCTTGTTCTCAAGCCTGGTGCTTTATTTTTCTCCCAGCTCAGATGACTGAATATTTTAAGGAAGCATCTGACTGGATTTTACCAACAGTGTAATTGCTGTTGCTAGATTGGTCCTAAGGAAATTTATCTGGACCAATGTCCTTAAAAGGGGTGATAATATTTAAACTTATGGTTAGCCTTATCTGGTTGGAGAGTATTAAGAGATTCCAGCATATGCTAATGAATAATTTGAACTATAAATCAGGTAGCAATCAGCTAAATTGGATTTATGCATAAGCCTTGGATTTAAATCATATGTACTTTCAGTATGGTCAACAATTAAACATCAATCAAATGTTTTTATTTTATTGAAACAGTTTGCCCTTTTTTCTGACTATAACATAAAGTATTTTTTATAAATTGTTATTTGCTTCCACAGTATTCTTGAAAATACATTTTAAGGCACTTTCAAAACATGATATCAATACTAATAAGGCCACTCACACTTTATGCATACACACATACATACTTATAATAATAAAGTAGTTATGAGAAAATGCAGACACAGATCAGTTGTTACTGAAGTATTCTGAGACCATACCTATTTGGATTTATTTTAACTTCATATTTTATTCTCATCTAATCAAAGGAATGCTTGTATTTTTCTTTGGCTGAAATTATTTTTATTCAGGAAAAAAGGATGTCCTCTGTGGTTGTTCATAAATAGAATATGATGACATGAAAATATATGAAGGATGATGATAATGATTATTTGTTACAGGTCTGAAGTATTATCATGGCTTCCAGCTTCTGCACTTTTTGTGGGTATTATTTATTCAGGTTCCAGGGCCTTATCTAGATTGGTAAGATATCCAAATAGTATTTGGCATGCCTTTTTATTAATGTTTCACTACAAATGTCAATAAAGTTGAAGTAATTAATATTACCATAGTTAAAGACTATTTGTAGAACATCGAAAATTGAATAGCTAGTTCTAGAAGTCATAATAGGGCTTACTGCACAAACAGTAAACAGTAAATTCCCTTTCTAACTCCCAATTCCATAGAAAATCTGTGCAATTTGACTCCAGCTTTTGAATATGTGTGGCATGGATTAATATGAAAGATGTTCCTTCAGTCCCATATCACTCATAAAGTAGTACCCCAAAGGTTGCTGCACCAATACATATAATAATTGTGAAAATAATTCCATCAATGAATTGGTCATTCTTTATTACTTGCTGGCCTTGAAATCAATGGGTGATCTTAAGTAAAAACATAAATCTGTGCTACAAACCACTCATATAAGAATTGTGTACCAAGTTATGAAAACATGAACATCAACATTGGACTGGGCCCAAATTCCTGTCCTCCTCTTAATTCCTTTAACCCAGGGGTGTCAAACTGCTGCCCCGCGGGCCAGATGCGTCATGCCAAAATCACGCCCACCCCATTGCTGGCAATGGAAAAAAAGTTGTGATACGTCGCAACACGTCACGTGACATTGTAAATTTGACACCCCTGCTTTAACCCTTCATTATCCCACCCATAAAAGGATTCAGACCAAGAAGCATCACAAAGGAGATTTCTGCAGTTAAAATATCACAGATTATATTCAGAATGCTGCTGTCAAAACAGGGCCTAATGGCATATGTTGGCCTGCTTGCTTCTCCTTTGTCTAAGAATTGAGGTTTGTAATGAGATGGATCCTCATGTGGCTGAAATGAATTGATCAGATGATAGATTTGGAGAGATGGGAACTAAAACTGATTGGTCCAACATACTGAATTTCCTTTCCTAAAGCCTAAAAGGTCTAAAAATGACGATGAAAGACAATAAACATCTGGTGAAAGTTAGCTGAGCTGGGCAATCTGAGCCATAGTTGGCAGGAAAACACATTTCTCTTGGCCCTATGAAGAGCCAATAATATTAGGGAGGTGAAAGGTGTATGTGTGTGTAAATGTGTTGATTTGGCTGCAGAAAAGGAAAAATATAAATTCTGATGTCAGATTTCCTAGGATAGCATTATTCTAGTGTTTCCTTTCATTGTGCACTAGTTCAAGAAACTTATGCTTAGCCATGGATCTTCCTTCTCTCTCAGCAACAAAAATGGCAACAAGCCCAGCAGTGGAGCTGTGAGCTGTTGTTTTTTTTCTTTTCTTTTCCTGCTTCTGATGAAAGGCTTGTTATCTCTGAGCCTTGTTCACTTGTTTTCTTTTAATACTGGTTCTTACAAATTCCCAAGTAATTAAAATGAAACTTTTGTAGCTGCAATCTCTTAGATTTAGTCACTCTTGAGCATGTTAACTTAGAATAACAGAAGAACAAATAAATTGTCTATTGAAAACATTTGCTAGAATCAAAATATTGAAAAACACTTCAAAGAGGCCTTATATATAAAAAGATTTTTTTTATAAGTTAATTTGTCTAGACTTTCAGTATTTCACATTTTCCATGTTTCCATTCCATTTTTGGAATAAGAAAATGAGTTATTAGGGAAAATCTGTGGTACTATATGTATACAATTTGCTCCCTCCGTTTCAGTAAGAATGGCCCTGTAGTCACAACAATAACATCTTTTTCAAAGATGGAGGCAGGCTTATAACCACTGCAACTTTTCCTCCCATCAGGGATACCATGTGATAGCTCTAAGCAAAAGTCTTTGCTTTCCTCACTTATAACTTAGATGTCTTCAAATGTGTAGCAAACTTTTACAAACTGAAACTGAAGGAAAACTTCTGAGGGGTACTATCAAATGTCTGCTTAGTGCCATCAGATGGGCAGAAGGTGATGGGCAGCTTGATTTACAGTGTCTGCAATGCTAACTTTGTTGGTCCCATTTTCTTTCCTGGCAGCCAATTCCTATCTTTCTTACCTTACACAATGCTGCAGATGTTATATTTTATGGAGTGGAAGCCTCGGTGCAGAAAGAGGTATGGAGAATTAAATAAATGGCCTTTATATATCAGGTTTATCTAGACTCTTTGTTAACTATATTTTCTTAGGCTAAATATTTCAGACATTAATGCATGCACATATTAAATACAATACTTTTGCAAATTAATTTCAAATAATTTAATTCTTCTAGGAGATGGTATATTTACAGCAAACCTTTGAAGGTATGAGAGAGATGGAGAGAAAGAGAGAAAGCATATGAAGGGAAAACTATATGATAATAAAATTGTATTACTTAAATGTAAGCAGCTCGGAGTCATCTGCATATGAGTTGGACAGCCATATAAACTTGTTTAATAAAACAAATAAGTATCATTTTGAAGATTCATAAGTGATTTTGCCAAAGCAAAGCTTATTTTGAGGAGGCCTTAGGTTGAAGCTACAAGGGTTGTAATTTAATCATGGCACTGCCTTATTCTCATATGCTTCTTGATATCTTCTACTCTCGTTTTCTTACTGGAGTCTTTTGTGCTGTCCACTCCTGAGTTTTCCAAACGATGCAGGTGTGGTAGTGCTTGAAAGCAGTTGACCTTGATTCAAAAAGTTTTTCTCTTTTTCTTTCATCTGTCCAGCATCCTGAGGAACTGTTTCCCAGCTTGAAACCTTTTTTGAAATCTTTTTGAGTAACTTAGAACAATCATAACTCTCTTTTTCATAATAATTCCTGAAATTCCTGGAATTTCTATAAAATCACCAGGAAGTGGTTGCCAAATCTTACACAAAATATTTAATCTGGATTTGATGTCCACAGCACACATTTTATGGACATTTAATGATGTTTAATACTGATAATTATATATAAAATATGTGTTGCATAAGTATAAACTTTTAAAGTACTTTATGGAGCTATTTCTATTACCACAATGTGGGATAGATATAATCTTTGGAGAAGGATTCTTTTTCATTTATTTGGGTAGCTGGTGATAGAAAGTTTGCTACCAGCATTTGGAATAGTGATATATAGGATCTCTAGAGATTATTTTTAAAAGTTTATGAGATATATATGATCTATAGACAACTGGATGCCCAGTCCAGCATATTAGAGACAATGCTAAGGAAACACAGCCTGAAATCTTTGAATAAGTGTTATCTTTGTATTAGTTACTCTTGCAGCTTAGCACATGTTCCTGGTTGTGAGGTAAAATATGCTTTATCCTTCTATTACTGAAATCACAATAAATGAAATTCTATCAGAAAACAGGTGACATTCAAATGCATGGTAACGTTTTCTTTCATTAATCATGTTTTGAAGGTGGGTTTTTTGATATTATTGTGTTTTTTTTCTTAACAGCAGAACTCTGCCCTAAAACTCTGCAGGTAAGTTTCCAATGTTTGTCCAATGTGGATATGTATGGAATTCCACAGAGACAATAACATGAACAGCTGATCATCTATTTAATAAAGAGTTAGGAGTGTTCATCATATATTATATGGTAGGTTGTAATTAGTGGCTGGATGGAGTCACTGAAGCAGTAGGTGTGAATTTGAATGGACTCCAGAAGATGGTAGAGGACAGGAAGACCTGGAGGAACGTTGTCCATGGGGTCGCGATGGGTCGGACACGACTTCGCAATTAACAACAACAACAATTAGTGCACGTTTGAATAATGCAGTATTCAATTTAGTGTGAATTGTAAATTGTTATCAGATCATGTTTAATGCAACTCAGAATTCAGTTAATGCAAGGCTAATGTGTGCTCAGTTGAGGCGAGCCCCTGTGCAATTGAAGTTGAAGTTGGGGTTCAGATGCTACTCATCTTCATGTGTGCAAAATGGAGAAAGGAAAAAAATAGTACATTAGAGTAGTATTTTTCAACCATGGCAACTTTAAACTGTATATTTCAACTCCCAGAATTCCCCAACCAGCATAGAAAAGTGATAGAAGTATCACTTTGACTAGTGCAAATTTGAATAATACAACCATTTTCATAAAATTTATTAACTGAACTAATTGAGACCTACCTTATGTAGGTTGCAATGTATGTGGCATTTATTTAGTTAAACCTCAATCCTGTTAAAACCTATGACCAATGTACATAGTGTTTATAATTAAAAATACGATTGTTTAAAATATTATTGTTTCAGAATAGTCTTTTTTCAGAATTATAATTGGGCTTCAATTTGCATTTGCATTTGTCAAGATTTGATAGGGTGGTTTAGTAATAAATTTTCTATTCTCTAATTATGTGATTACATTTAAGTAAGGAAAAATGTTTCAAACAACCGTGACAATTGTTTAGGTATGTTAAAGCAGTGCTTTTTTTCTAAAAAAAAAAAAAAAAAAAGGTGCCGGAACTCACACACATCATACAACCCGCCTTGCCTTGCCTTGCCTACCCTACAAGGTTCCATCCAAAAAAGGTGCCGGAACTCCGTTCTGAGCGTTCTATGAGAAAAAAAGCCCTGTGTTAAAGTATAAAAACTATGATATAAATATATAGTGGAGAAAAAAGAATCTGTTGGAAACAGTTTTGCTGTAAAAAAGTTGAAACTACTTTGAACTTTGTCAGCCTTTCCTAACTTTTTGTCCTATAGGAGTGGATTGTCAGGCCAGATAAAAATTATAGGAGTTTCATCTAATTTATCAAGAGAACAGTAGGGAAGAGAAAGCTCATTTAAGAAACCTTTGAGAATTCATTTGATTAGGATTTTATATATTTGTATATTTTCCTTAATACAATTAAAATTGAAAGCAATTTCAGGGAGGTTATTTGCCCATGGGAATGGTAAAGTGCTGATTTCTCATAATCTCCAGGAACCCCTTAGAAAAAGGAAAATGTATCACATATTTCCATCCCTATATATGATATCACTGGCACCTGTTGTTCATGCAAGAAATATGAATGGGCCAACATGGAATGCCATAAAGCTATTACATCCCCAGGCCATATCTTCTTTTAGGATCATTGGACTCCTTTTCCTAATACTGATTTTGTAAGTTTGAGGGTTTGTCTGTAGGGTAGTCAGACAAAAAAAATCATTTCATTCTATCAAACAATTTAAAATTAGAGTTATTTAGGAGCAGTGTTTATGTTAAATGAAAAAAAACAGAGGCATCTAATCCCCTCTGTGCACTTATCGCCACTGTAATTGAGCCCGTCCTCCTTACTGGTTGTCTTCCACTTCTCCTTCTTTCCACCTTTCCCAGCATTTTGGCATAATGTGTTCAAGATAGGATAATTTCAGCCTGGTCATTTGTGCCTTAAGTGAGAACCCTAGGTTGACTTGGTCAAATTGTTTTCTTGGCTATCTTCAATATTCCCAGAATCTTGTATAACACTAAATGTTCAAAGGTGTGCAAAGGCATCGATACTCTTCCTGTCCTTTTTCTTCAAAGTCCAACTTTTGCTTCCATGTTTTAATGATGATACACAGTAATAAATATGAGATTGAAGCCAGGCTGATTAAATTAGTACATTAACACTTGTGTCTTCCTCAGGGAAAAAAACAGTCCAGTTACCGTTTGAAAGAGCAACTCTGAGACATAAATTAGCACTCAAATCTCTGATCAGCCATGAAGTCCTCTGGGGATTTTGGACCAGATACTGTTTCAAAGGATTATTATGAGAATAAAAAAAATGAGGCAGGAATGACATATGTACTTTCTGATCTAGTAGAAGGAAGACTAAGAAATGTTAACAAAAAGTATATATTATTTTTAACCGCAGTTTGAAATAGAAACATAATTTCTTGGAATCTCTGGTGCCAAGTGGCCTTTTTATCTTTAATTGCAGAGTGCTGATTCTTTTGCTGGCCGCAGGGGGGCTTCCTTTCTATGACCCACAGGTTAGTTGTTTTCAAAGAAATCCTGAACTTGCTATGAAAAGCACAAACTCTCTTGTAACAGATGCCTGAAATAGTGACAGAATGAACTTCACTAAATGGTTTGAACTAAAGAATATTTTGCCTAGAACAGAGTTTCTCAACTTTGGCAAGTTTAAAATGTCTGGACTTCAATTCCCAGAGTTCTCCAGTCAGCATGCATGTTAGTCCATTGCATTTCAGGTATGCTGTGGAACAAAGTAAGTCAATAAAAAGCAAATATATTTATGGCCCTTTAAGGATATTGCATATTGCAATAATAAGTTCAATAACTTCAAACATATGCAGAATATTATTTTCATTGGGTATTTTAAATTTCTCATTCATTCACTGTGTATGATAATGCATGTGTTTTATAACCCACCCTTCTGAAATTGGATGCATTTTAATACAGTGTTTCTCAACACCTCTCCATTTTATATCTTGCTGCAGTTTGAACAGTATGCCAAAATCAGTTTTGCACTTTCTTCAAAATTTTTGTTCTCTGTGATAGAGGGCTTTTCCTCTATCTTATTCTTAATGCATGAAAATTTCTTTAGAGTTATTTTTAGGAGTATTTTGGGCTTGTTTATTGGTAGATATGGCCAAAGATGAGATTGCTGTTTTTGCTTTTTCTATGAAAATTATAACATCGTTACTGTGGTGAAGTGATACCTAAGATGCTTTACTTATTAAAGTATTCCTTACTTTAATTCTTTAATTCAATTGTTTCACAATTGAAACAAGGGCACTTTGATGTTTTATTTTGCAGTTTGATTCAGATGGCTATTTTTGGGCCGTCATACACCTACTATGTGTTGGTAAGTTTTTAATAAATTAGCAAAAAAATAATTCAACTTTCTGGCCTACGCATAGCTCCTCTTTGCTATGAGTCTCAGTTTTCTGTCTTTACTCCATACAGTATCCAGTGACTTACATAAGCACTGTCTTTGTTACTTTCTGCTGGAATAAAAAATTGTGTAATAGAAAACTGTATGTCCTCTCCAAAGGTCCATGTTTGATCCAACTTTACACTGAATTATATAGCATTATGAAAAAGGAAAAGTAAATTAACAGAATTAAGTGGAAAGATTTCAGCACAGAGATTTTTTTTTACAGTTCTTTTAATTTCAGAATTAGGAAAAGAAATTTAATCTGTACTAGATAGGAAAAAAGATAGTTGTAAATACAAAATGCACCCCAAGCTGAAATAACTTTGATGCTATAGAAGGTTTGGATTTTTATATAGGCAAGTAGATCTTTAACCATAGCTCTGTGTCTCCCTTTCTGAAATTGCTCCTTAGCTGTACCAGAGGATGCAAAATATATTAACACTCCAACTTCATGTTTTTTCTTTCACAGGTGCTTACAAAGTATTTTACAAGTTGTGGAAACCAAATTCTCTAAGGTGATTTATGTTTTTTTTCTGAATAAGAAGTATTTATAATAACACTAGCTGGTCTGGAGAAGGAAAAAAATATTATATTCTTTAGTTCTTTATATAATTAAAATAAAAGACTAAGAAGGATTAATAAGGAGACAGAAGAAGAAATTGATAGTTGCCTTTTGCAAGTATAGGTTAACTTTCCATAGTTTGATACTCTTGAGATGTATTGGAACTAAAATTCTCAAAATTTCTTTGCCAGCTTATCCAGTAGATAAATAGGTACCACTTTGGTGGGAGGGTAACTGCATTCTGAGATTTCATGTTGGCCACATGACCGCAGAAAAGTCTTCAGACAGCTCTGGCTCAGTGGCCTTGAAAGGGAGATGAGCACCACCACCTATAGTCAGCAACAACTAGCGGAATAAAATCTGCAGGGACTCCTTTACCTTACTTTACCTATCCAGTAGTAGTTGAAAATTCTGGAAGTTACTTTTGGTCCCAACATATCTAGAAAAACCTGGTTTGAAAGAATAGCATTATTAGAAACAGATATAATGAATGTAAATATTGTTCAGTAGAAGATTCTTACCATTCATTATGGTAATTAAATAATCTCTAGAGCACAAAAGGTATAAGTAGATTTATTTATGTATAAACTTTATTGATTGCCTCAGTTCTGAGGGACTCCAGGCAGTGTACAGGTCTAACACATAATAACTGATATATAATTTGAGAGATACAATCTCTCTGACTTAACTGCATACAACCAATCCCCACCCAAAGACATTCCAAAAATATCAAATTTATATTTGCCTTCAGGTAATGAGCATGGAAGCCACCTTTGCTTCTGGAGGCACCTTATTCCAAAAGAGGGGAGTCCCCACAAAGAACACCCTCCATCAAGCTCTTCCCTTTACACCTCATAATAGGAGGACACTTTCAACAGATGCATCCTGCTCATCCAGATCACTTGTCCATCTTTCAAGCCAAAGTCAGTGGCAACAGAAAGTACAGTGATAAGACAGGCTCCATAAATAATTGGTTATTCCCTGAAAATATAATTGAAATATAGATACATAATTTACAGATGACTATATTTTTGAGTAAGGACAATCTCTGAAAAAGAATTGTCAATCTTTTTCTAATTCCATAGATCAATTAAACATCTCACTTTCTAGTATGAAGAAAAAAAATGCTTGTTTTAGATCAGAGTGTGAAAAATGTGTGGGAAAGCCTGATCTGTAGTTTTCTGGAACCAAGAACACTACTCTAGCAATTTCTGTCACCTTATCATACAAATGATGGGAAGATAAGCTTGATTAAACTTCTGCCAGTTCTTGTTAGCTACCTACCATGAGTATTTAACTACCTTGGTGAAACATTTTCATCTCCAAGACAACTCTAGATGTCACACAATAAATATACAGTCAGGCTAACACGTATCTGTCAGATTAAAGGACCTGCCTAAATCAAACTCAAGAAATCTCGTAATTGAAAGAAAATAAGTTAATATAAAAAGTGTATGTTTGTATATTTAATTATTTAAGGGGTAATTGACATTGTTTGACAAAGTTCTGACATTAAAGTAACTGACTTTTTTTTTTGCTCCTTAGTAACTCTGAACAACAATACATAAACTATGCATTCAGGTACATTATATCTTAATTAAGGAAAAATATGGAATGTTTACCATCCCTTCATAACTGTACATACATTAAGTTGAATGACTTTAATATCTATCATATTCATATTATTCATCTTATTTAATGCTATTATTTACTTAATTATATTTTGATGGAAACACCAAAGCAATTTTTTAATGCATTATCAGCTAGTTATAAAAAAAGAGTGAATTCTGAATTGAATGTGATATAATGTGATGCCCCAGAGCAGTCATGCTGCATTCCATGGAATCTATACTGAGAATCAAATGGACCTAGAAAATGGATATTTTTGTGTGTGTCAACATTCAGGAATGCTGCTTACATTTGCGAAAAATGTCTTTCTGCAATATTAGACTCACAAATATAGAAGCATGCTGTATTTATAGAATCCTGATACCCAGATGGATCAGAAAATAAGTCAAAGAGCCTACAGCCCCCTTGAGAATATTTTTAGATGAATTGAGGAAGGTATCTAGAAGAGTCCTAGATTAAGGAAGTTATTGTAATAAATAATGGGTTGTCTATTGGTATATTAAAATTACAAATTAATGATATCTTTTGTTTCTAGTGTGGTGATGTTGGCTTTTGCATCCCACCCAACAGGTAAAAATAACAATAATTATAATTGGTATATGTGTGTGTGTGTGTGTGTGTGTGTGTGTGCATTTTTCAGACCTAGTGTTATTTCTTTATGTATGCTATTTCAGAATTTAGTCTGATTGTGTGTTCCACTACACATATGAATCATTTTTACATACTCGGGACTCTATTCCTTTTAAAAGTTTTAGCTAATCCAAAAATAGCCCAAAATCCAATCCTGAGATGCTCTGATATTGCATGATTTGGGAGCTGCACATGCATAGCTTCTTCACTGCTAATATTGTTGTGAATATGTGCACATTAGAGTTTGATGTTGAGACCGAGGAGTGCAGCTCAGCAGGTGAAGGAGAGTCTGAAAAATGAAATTGTTCATTATTGCATCTCAACTGACAAATAACACTTAATGCTCACTTTATGAATCAGAATTATCTACTGTGTTTGATTACAGCATTTTAGAGGCCCACTCCTCAGGGTCTTACAGTGGTGTCAGCCCTTGTTTCCCTCTAGCATGGCTCCTGTCTGCCTACAGAATAGCAATTCCAAGTCTTTTGGGGAACAGTGTAGATCATTTCAAGCCAAAAGGATAGATTTCTTTCTGTTGATGGTCTACAAAGGAGAGAGTTCAGCTTTGCCAGTAAAGTACTTTTACTTCTAGCACGCTATAAAACAGAATTTAGTCTTTTAATTTTGATCTCCAAAGATTGTAAAATAAAACAACTTGCAGAATATACAGCATTCAAATTTTGGGTAAACTGGGAGACAATCAGTTCTAGTTTCTCCTTAGGCACAAAGCCTGCTGGGTAACCTTGGGCTGGCTACATTCTCTTAGCCCTAGGAAGGAGACAATGGCAAACCATTTCTGAAAAAGAAAACCTCATGGACTTGTCAGGGCACTCTCTGAGAACTGAATATGATTAAATGGAAAAAAGACAGGTCTTTAGTTTACAATTGCTATGGTTTTTAGCCAACAACATTGGACTAGAAGACCTCCAAGGTCCCTTCCAACACTATTATTCGGTTATCCAAAAAACAAGCTAGCTATTGTGAGGTGGTCTCTCCAGATGTTTTGAATCTGCATATCCCAGAGTCCCTCAAATATTAGGACAGGCCATTTTAAAGAAAACACAGAGTTGGGAATCAGCAATCTCCCCCAAAAAAAGTGGGCAAGCCTTTATTTACCCCCTGATTCTCCCAGATGAAGAAAAAATGATAACACAGGCAGGTGAAAAATAAATCAACTTCTAGCCTTTTCAATAAACTCTTATACTTATTCCTAATTTTCCCCTATGATTAATATGTTTGCTGGTCTGCTATTTAGGGGAAGATAATGAAAAACGTCTGTAAATCTTGTAGGATCTTATTACAAGTAATCCTTGATTTAACAACTATTCATCCAGTGATTATTCAAAATTAAAATGGCCCTGAAAAAAGTGATTTATGACCATTTTTCACACTTATGACTGTTGCAGCATTCACATGGTCATATGATCAAAATTTGGACACTTGGCATGTATTTATGATGGTAGCAGTGTACAAGGTCATGTGATCACCTTTTGACAAGCAAAATCAATGGGGAAGCTGGATTTACTTAATAACTGTGTTACTAACTTAACAACTTCAGTGATTCACTTAACAACTGTGGCAAGAAACTCATGGGGCAAAACTCATTTAACAACTGTCTTGCTTAAGCAATGGAAATTTTGGAGTCAAAGACTACCTGTTTTTTTTCAAGACCACAAAAATCTCTGATTTTTAGGAGCTGGAATACATTTAACATACAATGCACCTCTTTTTGTACAATGTATTCTCAGATGCAACTTAATAGGTCCCTCTTTTATGAAACTCTGAAATAGAAATCCAGTTGCTGTCTTCTCCCTCTCTCCCTTTGCTGCTTCTTCTTCTCTTCACAACAATTCAGTTATGGAGGGAAATAGTCAATGCTTGCAAATATTCCCTGCGGCATCGTATGGAGATATATATATATATATATATATATATATATATATATATATATATATATATATAGCCAGCGGAAAACAAATTATTCCCTGAACAACCATGATTATAAATGGGAGTCTTGCTCATGAATTTCCATGAAAAATACAAACATTTTTAAAGTAGAAACATGCTCCCTAAATAGCATTCTTCCCTTTTTTTACAACCTGATTTCAGACTGATGAGAAAGAGAATGAAATGTTGTAAGTGCAGTGGCAAATTGCTGAAGTGATAAAAATCATGTTAAAATCAAAAATAAGTAATTCAATTCCAGTGTTACAGTGTTGTGTTCCTCTATTCTGTCCATTTTTCAACAGGGCAACCAAATACTGGTGCCAATTTTTTAAAAACTAAAAATATGATTTTATTTCTTAGGTGATCTCTTCAGTGCCTTGGAATTTCCACTCCTGTACTTTTACATCTTTCACAGCAGTTGCCTTGCCAGGTAACTTTTCAGGATACAAGCCAGACCTTATGATATACGTGGGAAACAAACTACTATATTTTTGATGAGCTGTTAAAGGTGTTTCTTTTTTTCTAGGCTCAAGTATGGTCCTAACCATTCAATTATTGGTCCGCAATGATGCATCATACTAATCTGAAATTTAACCAAATGTTTTCTTCAAAATATGCCAAACATTATAATGTGAATAAACTATAGGATTATTTGCAGCAAAAGGCTGCATAAATTTTTGGTGGGGAATTATACAAATTATAGTGCAGCACTCATGAAAGGCACCAACGCAGGAGAAGTTCATTCAAGTGAATTAGACCAAAATCCCAACACGTGTCTGTTCAGAAGTCAGTTCATTTAATGTTACCCACAGGATGCACTCTAAATGTTAATTTTTAAATCATTTTGCCCCTTCACTCAGTTTGGTTGAAGTAAGCTTCTAAAAGGTATTCTTGCTAGATTGAACCAACTGTTAGTAATATTTTAAAGGGTCCTCAAGAATTCTCGGCTGATATCTCCATCTCTGACATTGTTAAGGCATTCTTCAGATAGCTTTTGAGTTAAAAATAAGTTTATTAATCCTGATGGCAAATGGGACCAGAATTTTTGTTGCTAAGCAGTAGGTTGTAAAGTGCAATATTACGTGACTGCATCACTTAATGATGGCAATCCTGCAGTCCTGGTGCTGTCACAACCCTAGGGCTGAGTGGGTCATTAAGAGAGAAGAAGCCAGAGTCCTAAACAAGCATGCCAGTGGATGCACAAGTGATGCTGGTGGGAGAGGATGGATATTGCAGGCAGGCTCTGAGTGCAGGTGGGCTGCAGATACTACAGGGGATGCCAGAAGCAGGGCCTATGGAGCGCAGGTAGGTAAAAAACCAGGAGACCAACATCCAACTTCTTACCAGCTTCCTCATTGACTTTGCTTGGGGGAAGCCAGCAGGGAATGTCAAAAATTGTGAAATGACTGTGCTTTACTACGTTGTTGTAATTGCGAGTTGGGCACAGAATACCTGGATTGAAATCAAGTGACTATTGGGACAATGTGACAGCCCCAACTTTGCAGACAGGTCACAAGTCCCATTCATTTAGTGCCATCATAATTTTGAATGATCACTGAACAAGTGGTTGTAACTCAAGGACTACCTTTATTTTGAGGATAGAAGCATACCATCACATTTGTATTTTGGCCCTTTTCCACTGAGATGGTTTAGAGCAGCAGTCCCCAATCTTTCTGGTTCTGTGTACTGGTGGCAGGGAGAGTGATGGTTTCGTGTGCGCCACTTAAACAAATGCAGCTTCGTGCACTTGCCTGCTGGTTCCCAATGGACTGTGGACCAGTACTGGGTGGACTGGGGATTGAGGACCCCTGGTTTAGAGGACATGATTTTAACATTACAAGAATTGCCTCCTGAAAAATAGTGACTTTCTAAAACAGGGGTCTCCAACCCCTGGTCCGTGGACTGGCACCAGGCCGCACAAACAAGCAAAGCCCCATCTGTGGGATGCAGGCAGTACATGAAACCACATCCCCTCCGGCCCATGGAAAAACCTTTCTCCATGGAACCGGTCCCTGGTGCCCAATAGGTTAGGGACTTCTGCTCTAAAATGAGCTGAATAGCTGAATAAGATTTAAAAATGGGCAGACTACTGTATTCTGTACAGAATCCTGGTGCAGAATTTGTCCCTATCAAGCAAAGCATCTTTAAGCAAAGTTCTGGCACTAGGATACTCCTGCCAGCAAAAAGGAAGAGCAATTTTTGTTGATTGGGCTTTCTTCTTGTAACCTAATTTCTCCCACAACAGTCTGTTCCAGAATTAGAATGGTACTGCAAAGGAGAATGAATTGAAGGAAATTCCTCGTCCTGCCTTCCTTGATGGGATTCTTTATGGAATCTAAAGCATCTTTCCCTAACATGGTGCCAAAGGCAATGCTGGCTGGGAATTGTGGGAAATAATATCTAATACATCTGGAAGACACCATATTGGGAAAGCTGATTTAAAGCTTTCCAATGTGATGGAAAAGTGTTAGCAAAATAGGGTTGTTTGTTGCTTATCTCTAAACAACATTAACTTGTTTTTTTAAGGATCTTATTTGAACACAAAACCTCAACTAATGCATTTTTCTACTACTCACCACAGTGGACTTCTGGGATTTCTTCTGACTTTACATACTATAAAACTTAAAAGCAGCAGCTCCTCAGGACAATATATAACTTGGAATTTCTTAGCAAAGGTAAGATGATTACTATTCTATTACTCAAAAATTTAAGTGAACATTTTCTTTAATTTAGTCATTACAATGTTAATAACCTATAGTTCTATTATTTGTTTTCTATAATGTAATAAAACAGTGGTCTTTTCTTACTATGTAATTCCTTCGCAGATCTTATCAAAATATATATAGATCTTCCACAAAGATGCTTTGTGTATTTTTTTAAATCACTGTTATTTTTTGAGATCTCATAAAACAGAATTTCTATCTACCACATTTTACCACATTTTTCTACTTATTACTTGATAAGGTAGAAAAATGTGGGTTAGACACCATCACCACCAGATGGATTCGTAGCAGGATGACCGGCCATACACAGCATGTGGTCCTCAATGGAACTGCATCTACACGGAGGGAAGTGTGTAATGGGGTTCCCTAGGCCTCTGTTCTGGACCCAGTGCTCTTCAACATCTCCATCAATGATTTGGATGAGGGGATAGATGGGGAACTCATCAAATTTGAAGACGACACCAAACTGGCAGGAATAGCCAACGCTCCAGAAGATAGGCTTAAGATACAGAAGGATCTTGACAGACTTCAACATTGGGCGCTATCTAATAAAATGAAATTCAATGGAGAAAAAAGTAAAGTTCTACATTTAGGCAAGAAAAACCAAATGCACAGGTATAGTATAGGTCACAGGTCGGCAACCTGCGGCTCCGGAGCCGCATGCGGCTCTTTGAGCCTTCCCCCGTGGCTCCCAGCCTCTCTGCCTTTGCAGAGAGAGAGAGACAGAGAGAGGCAATTGCGATTCCCTGCTTCTCTCTCTCTCTCTCTCTCTCTCTCTCTCTGTGTGTGTGTGTGTGTGTGTGTAAAAGAGAGTGCACTCACAGTATTCTCCGAGGAGCTGAAAAGCTTACTGGGCGGAGCTCCTCCCTTTGCTGCATCTCTGCAGGAAGCAGGAAGGGCAGGAGAGAGCTAGCTAGCCCAGCTAGGCTGACTCAGGAATTCTGGGAGTTGAAGTCCATGAGTCATAAAAGAGACGAGGTTGCTTATTGGACAACAGCTTGAAGCTTGCCAGGTGAGCAGCAGATAGGAGGGGGGGGGGAGAAAGAGAGAGAGAGAGAGAGAGAGAGAGAGAGAGAGAGAGGAAAGAGAGAGAGAGAGAGAGAGAGAAAGAGAAGAGAGCGGGGGAAGAGGAGTGGCAGACCAAGGGCAGATAGAGAGGGAGAGAGAGAGAGAGAGAGAGACCCTTTTGACATCTAAAATGAAGATAACACTGCATATATCCTTTTTTTACCTGTGTGTGTGTGTGTGTGTGTGTGTATACATATACATATATACATATACATATATACACACACACACATACATACACACACACACACACACACACACACACACACCTATAATAAAGGTAAAAAAGGATATATGCAGTGTTATCTTCATTTTAGATATCAAAAGGGTTTTGCGGCTCCCAGTGTTTTGTTTTTGGTGGGAAACGGGTCCAAGTGGCTCTTTAAGTGTTTTGGGTTGCCTACCCCTGGTATAGGTGGTATCTTGCTCAATAGTAACTGTGAGAGGGATCTCGGAGGGGACTGGAGGCTAAAACATAAAGAACGGTATGTCTAGTTTAATGAAGAGAAGGACTGGGGGTGACATGATAGCAGTGTTTCAATATCTCAGGGGTTGCCACAAAGAGGGACTCAAGCTATTCTCCAAAGCACCTGAAGGAAGGACAAGAAGCAACGGATAAAAACTAACCAAAGAGAGAAGCAATCTAGAACTAAAGAGAACTTTCCTGACAGAACAAATAATCAGTGGAACAACCTGTCTCCAGAAGTTATGAATGCTCCAATACTGGAAGTTTTTAAGAAGAGACTGGACAACCATTTGTCTGAAATGATATAGCGTTTCCTGCCTGAGCAGGGGGTTGGATAGAAGACCTCCAAGGTTCCTTTCAACTCTATTATTATTGTTTTTATTTTTGAAAAATTTTAAAATTTTTTACAGTAAAATCCCCTTCCCCAGTCCCTCCCAACCCACCCCAAAACCCTCCCCCAATCTTCCCAGAGCTGAATACAGGCTTAACTAGAACTTAAAAGAAAAAAAAAGAAAAAAAAAATTTTTAAAACCCAAATAAACCTTAAACAAATATAGTTACAATCAGTAAACAAATTATAAAATACTTTAACTCCATTATATATAAAGAACAGAAAGAGGAAAATTAAATGTAAATTATTCAAAAGCTAGATGGTATTCTCTTGTATCATACTTATATTGTATAAAATTTATCCATATCTATAATTCAAAACTTCCATTTCTTTCACAATTAATAAACCAATCATCTCTCTAACTTAATAACATTACAAAATATCATATTGCATATAAAGTGAATTAGTTAGAATCTAATCCACCATTAAAATATTATAAACTTTAAGTATAAATTATTAAAAAAACTAAACAATATTTTCTAATATCATACTTATATAAAGTTTATCCATCTTTCTTTGTTATCACCATCAAAAACGCACATATAAACATTGCTTGTACCATTAAAATTCCCTTATACATATTTAAAACAAAATATTCCTTTAAATGCTCCTTACGTTTCTAAGCATGCACTATTTATCTAAAATTTTCATTCAATCTCCCTAGTATCATACATATATTATATAAAATTTATCCGTCTTTCTTTGTCATCACAATCAAATACACATATAAACATTAATTGTACCATTGAAATTCCCTTATACATATTTAAAACAAAATATTCCTTTAAATGCTCCTTAAATTTCTAAACATACACTTCTTATCTAAAGTTTTCATTCTCCATAATCTTCTCTCCTCTTTTCCAATGACCAGTTCCATCCGCAATGGACTATAATCTGTCAATAACCTTGAAGCAATCTGTACATTCTTTACCCATCTCTCTTAACCAATAACCTCGAAAAACTGCTTGAAGATCTACCATTGAAGATTGCGCCAAAGAACTCTTAGGTCTTGCTTCTCCCACAAACTCAGAAACAAATTCTTGTAAAACTTCCTTAACCTCCTTCTTCTGTTGTTCCTCTTCCTTGCGTTTATATGCTGCCGGAGTCATTCTCTGCTCCTTCATCTCCACTTGTTGAGACCCCTCAGTCTGTGATTTTCCAACTTTCATCAATACAGCTTCTTCAGATTGCAATTCTACCTTCTTCTCTTCCAAGACTTTAAACATTATAGGTGACGATGAGCATGCTCCCAGGACCGAAGTATAAAACTCCTTTGCTTTAAAAACAGTATTAAGTCTATAACGTGTCCCGCATAGCTTACCACTATTCCAATCGGGATATCCCATCTGAACGGCATCTGCCTCTTTTTAAGTTCATCTGCTAAAAAAGCAAACTCCTTTCTTCTTAAAATTTTAGATGGAATCTCCTTTAAAATTATAACATCTTGTGCTGCAATCTGAAACCTCTTATTGTAAAAAACTTGTATAATTTCATTGCGTAGGGATCTTTTCCCAAAGTAAATTACCACATCTTTGGCAAATTTCTTTGCTTTGCAACCCAAGAGTTGACTCTAAATATTTTTTCAATTTCTCTTAGTATTCTCTTTTTCTCTATCCAAAATCACAGCAAAATCATTTGCAACCATCTCTCTCAGATCTCCTTGCAGATGTTCACTCAAGCCTCTGATTCTTAAAGCGAATTCCATCTCTCTATATTGAAACATAAGAATCTCATCTTGAAAATCTTCCATCTTTTTTTCCATGCCATCAAATTTTCCCTCCAAGACCTTCACTTTATCTGCAACTTCTTCAACATGAAAATCCAACTTTTCAACAACAGAGACAAGTCCTTTTAAAGCCAAAACTATATCTTGCCTCAAGATCCTGTTATTTTCCACTAAAATCTCTTTCACTTCTCCCCTAATTTGAGATATAGCATTTCCCATTACATCTTGCAAATCTTTTACCGTTAGTGACTGTGCAGGAGAAGAGGGTAATAATGTTGATTTAGGTTGTTGCACTGGTAATATCACCGAAGAAGAAACCACCTTAGGAATTGTAGAAATTACTGGGCGTTTTGAAGCCATCTTGAAAGAAAAAAAATTATTTTCCTCTTTCCTCCTTCTTAAAAAATACAAAAAAGGAAAGAGAAAAAAAGAGTTAAACAAAAGAGAGGGAGATTAACTCAAAAAAACCCAAATCCTCCTTCAAAAAAATCATTGTAATAAAAAAAGAGAAATAGGAAAAGAAGAGAAAAAAAATAATAATTAAATAGACAAAATCCATTCCGTCTCCTTAAAAGAAAAAACTTCAAATCGCCATTTTACTTTCCCTCTCAACAAAGGAAAAAGAAAAAGAAAGTAACTCTTTAGACTTGAAATCCAAACTTAAAATCCAAGTAAAATCAAAAAAATCCTCTAATCAGCTCTGTCCGCTTTTTAAATAACTCACCAGTTCTCTTTAAGCGCGGAGGTGGGAGCGGTGTCTTGCTTTGTCCCAAACAACAAGGGACAAAGGCACCTGAGAAGCGGAGACACCCTGAACTCTGTGGGAGCACTCCTTTCACCCCAAAAGAAACTCCTTTGGGATCTCAGAGGCTCAACCACTATTCAGGGTGAAACTCCCCTCCCTCCCTTGGCCCGGGAAGGAGGTTTCAAACCGCAGAATAGCTGATGCCTGCTGTTCTCAGCGGTTTTAACGCTGTCTCAGGAGGACGGCTACAAAGTAGCCACCAGCGCTACACCACCGGAAGTCCTATTATTATTATTGTTATTATTATTACATAATTAAGATTTTCCCCAAAGCCAAAAAAAAAAAGGGTTTTCTTTGAAATCCACATTACTGGTATTATTACATTGGAAATCACAGCCGTATTTCTGCAGCCATTTGGAGTAGTGAGGGGTTTTTTTAATCATGGAGGGTGGAAATTCTCCCCGCCAGCATCTTTATTCAATTTCAGTATTTCATTTCCATATGAAACGAAAGGGCATTGCAAGTCTTTACTATAAGTTCTTCAACCTCTATACCAGGGGTCTTCAAACATGGCCCTTTTATGACTTGTGGACTTCAACTCCCACAATTCCTCAGCCAGGCACGCCTGGTTGAGGAATTCTAGGACTTGAAGGCCACAAGTCATAAAAGGGCCATGTTTGAAGACTCCTGCTCTACACTGACTCTTAACTTTTTAACATGTGGCTTTTCTTCCATTCTAGTTATGTGTAATATTATTGTATAAAATGCTGAAATGTATAAAGCATCTTCCTACCATCACTCAGAATGCTGAGCATCATTAATAATGCCCAAAAAATGTACATAGATTTGCTGCTAAGCCAGCATTCATAAAGGTTAATAGAAGGTATTCTGCGTGCTGTGTTATCACAAAGCTGATGTATGCAGGAATATTTGAGGTTTTTTTTTTTAGTTATTAGTCTTACCTCATTATGACTTTCATATAGCTGCCTCTCAGATTTTTCCCCCCAAACACTTAAGCAAATGTGGTCAAATACATACAGAGATAATATAAGGATTGGTGGTAGAGGAGAAGGCTGGCAGATTCCTTTATTTTTCTGCTGGGGGGGATCATTCATGATCCAGGCAAGCTTATTGTGAGCACAATATACAGGGGGCACAAAAATACCTATTGTCCAAGGATTGCCTGACATTTTCTTCAATCAAAAATGGTTTAGGCAAATATAGATATTCCTCATGATTATAACAGAAAAAGGTGAAGGCAACAGTAACTGACTCCATTTAATGATGTGTTGAAAAGGTCACTGTGGTCTATAATAGTGAACATTGGTCCTAAGGTATATCCAAAGCCAACGTTCAACTTTCATACAATTTTAATATCTGAAGAAGATGTGGAGAATAGAGTATTGATATAAAGGACTTGTTGCAGCTATAAATGTAGACTTTCTGCTTGTTTCCATAGAGATGACATGATAATAACTTTGAGGCATCAAGCACTAATTATCCAGTATTCAAATTGATGCAGAGTCCTCAAACTAATCTTGATAACTCTTGTATTTTTTATAATTCTACTTCCTTTTTTTAATGCTGATGTGCCCTTGGTATGCAAAAGTACAATTTCTCTCATGAGATTAAAACTATCAAAATGAGCTATTGCAGTTAAAACCTATAGAAAAACAATCTAAGGAAGAATATGATAACTGCAATACAGGATATATTTCATCCTTGTCTTAATACTGCATTTACCTTGATATAAATTAGAGTTGCAATCAGTTTGTCCATACTGATCATTCTCACACATGTCAATCATTGTAGACATAATTAAGAACATGATCTGAAGGCATTATGATCTTGCTGAAGCTAAGATGGTTTGGAAGACCTATTAGGAACCTTTCTTTCTTACCATGAACTCTACAACAGAAGAAAAACAGAATCAAAATATAAAAAATAGTAATAGCGAAAATAGTAATCCTGTCCTTTCCAACACCATGCAACCAGGAGCTACTGAACTTTTCTTCCTTTCTGGTTACATGTCAGACTATTGTATAAAATGTTGAAAAGTATAGAACATTGCCAAGTTACACATAATTGTAACATTATTGCATTATTTGTAATGAGTCTTCCTCTTTGCCATTTCAAATGTTATTTCTGTTTCTAATGAAAAAATATGAGTTCCAGAATTAAGAGAATTATTCTCTGTATAATAGCTTCTTTCCTGTGCCCACCTTGGCAAGCCAAGGTTTTTATTTAGTCTTTCCCTTAAGCTATTTATAGTCATTTGATATAAGCTGAACAATGATTCGTGGAGATAGTAAAGGGAAAAAAATAACAAGAATTGGTTTGGAAATAATTTGTAAACAAATATGCCAGATGATTGAATGTGAACAAATGTTCAGATTTAGAAGATACTAAAATTAGATCGTATTATGTCACAAGTACAGTTTACATTCTTATTCAGTGCAATAACCTAAAGTTTCTTTCAGGATAGCTCAGTTTCAGGTTTGTCCTTGGTGCCAAATCTTATCTGATAACTTCTGCGTATTTCCTGTTTCTTGGTGTAATTCTAGTTGGAAAAAATAGGGGTTGGTAGGGTGAGTAAAAGCTACGGGACAGGGAAGATAATGGGAGAAATATAGGCCAGAGCAAGGAAAAGACAGTTATTTCTGTGTTATTTCTCCTTTAAGTCCTTGGAGAAACTCATAATATAGCCAGGATTGTGTAAGGAGAAGTCAAATGGGTTAAAAAAAAATAGCTGGCTTTTTAAACATAAAAGAACCATGCTGAGCAAGCTGACTTAGCATACATGATCCAGAAACGTAGGCTGCCAAAAAAGTTGACATTAATTTATTCCAGCTGTATTTACCACATTGCTTGGTACAGCTGCCTATAGTACCTAAATGTCAAACAGGCCTGGTAGCACCTTGAAAACTAATTTATTATTATATAAGTTTAATGGATCACAGTAATTTTGATACACAACAGGTAATGCAGTAATAAATTGAGTAGATGTTAACAACTTTGCTTTTCCAACCAAAAAGAATTATACTTGACTGATGTTTCCTCTTCGGAGTTAGCTATCAAAGAAATTATACAAAGGGTCAGTTCCACATTACAGGCGCATAACCTATGAAGGGTCTCAGTGCTGGAAAGGAAGTGCTCAAGATCTTAAGCCTGCTCCAGGCTCAGGAGAAATTTAGACCAGCTGTTTATTTGCAGTGGAAGACCTTAAAAATAACAACTAGGTAAAAAATGGATGGATCAGAGTTCTCCAACATAGAGCTACCATTGCCAATCTTTTTGTAGAAAAATGAAGCATAACACAACTCCCATTCCTTCCTTTTTGCTTTTCCATTACATCATCTGAGAAACTGCAGACATACTGCAAAAGTGACAGAATTAAAAAAATTAGCTGTGGGGACAAATGGAACGGGATCAGCAAAGCTGTTCATTTTGTTCTTTATTTAAATCAGGCTTAGGAACATTTTTTTTGCTTTTTATAATATCTCAATAACAGCCTGAAATTTAAATTAGAAATGGAAAATAAGCATAAATAACAATGTTTAATGCACAGCAATATTTGAAAGAACAACAGAGACATAATGTAAATATTGTTTTTTTAATTAAATGCTGTAAGCTACCCAAAATCACTTTCATGTGAGATGGGTGGCTATACAAATATGATTAAATAAATAAAAATTAACAGAAATGTTCCATTTTGCAATGAAATTAAGCAAATAGAGTTTTCTTGTGCTGCTCCAAGTGCCACTATCTTCCCAAGTATTGCTAAACAATATCAATTTGTCAATGTTTTATTTAGTCAAAGCTTTTGAGTGTTAGTATTGGTGACTTAATGTGGAGTCTTTCCTCATTCACACCTAACTATGGCACAGATGTGGTTTTTGCAATCAAGAGGCCTGCCAGACACTTGTTGCCACTGCATGTCTTTAAGTCTATTTTTCTGTTTACAACATGTGCACACATATACAAGATGCTCACATAATTGTTGCATTTGATAAGAGTTTTTAAAAAATGAAATCAGTCTTTTCATGCTACCTGTAACTTGGAGAAAAGAGAATTCAGAATTTATTTCCCCCCCCCCTCCACTTTCTACCATTGGCAAAGTGCCTTACTTTAATTTCCCAATTTATTAATTTTAATAAATTTTAAATATTATATTTAATCTTAACTTCAATCTAAATGTTATCTGCTGTTTCAGTTTTAGTCTGTTGTAATCAGTTTTACTTGATTTTATGTGTTTTTTCTACTTGTAGCCTGAACCTCTGAATCTCCCCTTAGGAGTTTTCTGTAGTGAAATTGATAATATTACGGACTTGAAACACTTTGGATTTGGCAGGTAATTGGAGCCATGATTGCTCACAAAAAACATTATAAAACCTGTCAGAAAAAAACAATTTTTGTGAGAAAATAGCATCTGTCCTTGGCAGTGGTTCAGTGAATGTAGGTTCTTTGCAATCTGACTTTGGGGACTAGATAATTACTGAGAAAATATATTATAGTTTATTGACACAAAAAATCACATCATATCAAAATGCTAAAGCCTGTGAGGTCCAGGACTCATTTAGTTGTTATACTTTGAACCTCTGGCAGTTGATATTTTTTTCTTTTCTTTATACAAAAATTGCAGAAATTCATGCTTGTATTTTAATCTAAATGTAAAGAAAGACATGAGGAAGCAGATATAAAAATATCAAAAATCCGTTTTTTTTTTAAAATGTACCCTGCTATAATTTATTTTATGATCCATGAAGATTGTTTTTTTTTTAAAAAAAAAATTGAATTCAACTTTTGGTTGATTCATTATTTTAAAATGTATTAGATTTAAATTGAGTGTACAAATCAATGTTTAAAAACACGTATGTCTGTTTTCAATCTTGCACCTTGATGCAAAAGGAAAATGGGATGGTGGGGGGGGGGAGGAAATCCCATTCTTATAGTTTTTATATGTAGTGATTACATAGCTGCGATGGAAATTATTCAAATGAGAGAGATCTTAAAAGGGCTAATGAGTGAGCTGCCCTTACTCCCTATGCTTAAAATAAACCACATTCAAACAAGGCAGTGTTGCTGTGTAAAGTATTCAAGATTCTGACCACTTAATTCTATTTTCTGACCTGAGTTTTTTGGCTATTTTAAGGGATTCTTTCCATACATCTTCCCGCCCCTCATTTATTTGTGTATCTTCAATACATTGTGAAGGCAAAGCCATGACAGTCTTTCTCCTTTCATCCTTGTATTCCAAATTCCATAGACTCTGAAAAATATCATTACAGCACATTCCGAAGGGACAGGAATTAAGATGCTTTGCAAGCAGACAATTTAAAAAATGGCATTCCATCAGTGCCCTGGTTCCCTGGAGACTGTTTAAAGACTCCTTCCACAAAAGGGAAGCTAAATAAATTTATAACACGTGCACACACATTTTCAGTACTAGTTATGCACATTTGGTTTTTGTAAAAGGAAATGAAGTCCAAGTAGCTGCTATGAGAGGAACCTTTCCTACTCAAAATTTCTGGTATTGTGAAGGTGAAAAGATACCCTGTCAGTTTTTGCAATTTGGCACTTTTTACAATGGTTGAAATCAGTGTTTCTCCCCTTCACCGACTTTTAAGATGCATAGACTTCAATTCCCAGAATCCCCCAGCTCAGCATGAAGTTGATGAGGGAGAGAAACACTGGCTTAAACTATGCTGTTTTTTGTTGCAGTAGGAGTGGAGGACTCCAGCAAGAATTACTTTCTGGGGCAGTGGTGAAATTGGCATGAATTTCTGTCCTTCCTTTGACAGAAAGCTAGCTGGTTACAAAAGGCCTTACCACTGCTTTACTTGTTTTCTCTTCTTCCTTGCCTTGCAATGGAAGGCTCTGAAATAAATCATCTAAACTGAAATTGGGGGAGGAAAAAAGCAGCTGTGGGATTCAGCCAGTTCGCATCAGTTTGGCAGAACTGGTAGCTAATTTTTTTGTTGCCCAGGCCCAGAATGGACTTCCGGAAGCAGTTGTTCGCATGTTTGAATCCCACCACTGGAAAGAAGGTTAACTTTTGCCTGAACTGCAGGATGCAGGACAGAGGTCTTCAACTTATGGGCCATGGCCCACTACCGGGCTGTGGCCTCTTGGCCACCGGGCTGTGTGAGTAGCTGGGCAGTGCATGCGCATGTGCATGCGTGTTCACCCCCACTCATGCCACCTTTGTGCAAGTGTGTGGGCAGTGGTAGCACTGCTAGTATCGCACAGGCAGCGGCGTTGCCATGAACCTTGTGTGGGCGGCGACAACAGGCAGGGGTAGCAGTGCAATCCTTGCGCCAGTGGCAGCATCACTGTGGGCCGTGCCACAAGCTTTCCACAGGCACGTCATTGAGCCTCGCGTGCGTGCTTAGCCCCGTTTGTGCACATGTGCGCACATGTGGCCACATTCACGTTTGCGCATGCGTGCGTAAGATGCCTGCCCCTTCCTCTCCCACCGAGTCACCAACCCAGAAAGGTTGGGGACCCCCGATCTAGGAGATGGGTTGAAACAAGCGTTCCCACTGGTTCAGCATTTCACATGTTGCAAAAGGAAATACTGTACTAGTTTTGCTGCTGTACCAGATACACTGCAGCCAGGATGTAAGTGTAGCAGTTCAGTTTTCCATCAGGACTGACAGGATGAGATCACACAGATCAAAGATCACCAAGCTTGTGTAGGGGAACTGCTGCTTGGTTATCTGGAAGAACAGTTTCTTGGTTCTGTGGTTAGTTGGATTATTAGAACACATTTCTGAAACGTGAGTCTCATCTTTTGAAATGGTACATTCCTCCAAATCATAATACAGACAGTCCTAGTTTAGTGACTACCCTATTTAGTGACCATTCACAGTTACAACACTAATGAAAAAAATTACTTCTCCAATCTTCACAGTTGCAACTTATTGAGGTTTATAAGGCAAAGAAAAACTGAAGTCAAACTGTAAACATAGTTGCAGTTTCATTTAGAGACTGCTTTGCTTAATGACTCAGATACTCAACCCAATTATGGTCGTTAAATGAAGACACCTGTAATACTAATACATTATAGTTCATTCAATACAAGATTTCTCTTGTGAGATTTTTTTCTCTCCTCAAAGAGATGACCCAGGCTATCTTAAGGTCAAAGACACTTTCTCAGGGAACCCCAAATGCGTTTGATGGTGACAAAAAAATGTTAAGACTAGATGAGGTTTTCACATGATCCAGCAGGACTCATATGTTCTTACAAAACTGCCCAAGGAATCTGAGAAAAGTGCTAATATATATAAAAACCCTTTGAAATAAAGATAAATATTGTCCTCACTCTCTTTGGATTAGGGATGTCCACAGGGTATCTGCCACAATTAAGCATCAATTGCATCATGTGATTGTCTTGACTTTTTCAACCACATCCTGAGTACACCTCTGCCCTAGCCCTTTGTAAGTTCTTGGGGTTAATTAAAAGAAGATTATTGCAACAACGAGCTTTCTGTCTCATTGTCTTTCTAGGTTATCACAGCTGGTCTGTCACCATTCTTCTTTGAAATTGCAGTGAATGTACCAACTGCCTGCTGGTATGTATTTTAGACAGAGGATTGTGGTTATTTAAAATGTTCTTGAATTTTTAAGTCATCTTCCTTAGTTTCATCTGACTTGGTCATTTTTGCCAAACCACAGAGTTAAGCTGCAAAGAACATTTTATAAAACTAGATAAGGATGTATTGAACTGATGCTGTACATTATAACAGGACCTACTTTAAAATAAAAGCACCAAGAGTACCAGCAGTACGCCTCCACTGGTTAGCCAAAGGAAATAGGGAAGCTGTGCTGTTTAGCGGAGAAACCCCACTGACCTTGTATGTCAGAGATGGATAAGCTATGCCTACATGCCTCCCTGGTCTTCTCTTTTTACTTCTTGTCCTTTTCTCTTGCTACTGCCCCAGCTATCCTGACACTTCAGAGGATAAGAGTCACAATGGGCCTCCAATGAATGGCTGTAGGTTTAAAGTGGTGTTGTCTTCTCTGAAATGATGAACATGGGTACTCCTGCTTACATGGGAATAATTCCCATTAATTTTAATAGGCCTTTTTAGCAATGAAAGCACATAAATTATATCTGGTATGGAAAAAGAGAGCCAGTTTGGTTTAATGGTTAACATACCAGACTACTAGAAACTAGGAGCTTTAGACCTGCCTTAGGCACAAAGCCAGCTAGGTGACCTTGGGCCAGTTACTCTCTCCCAGCCCTAGGAAAGAGGCTATGCAAACCACTTCCAAACTCTTGCCAAGAAAACTGCAAGTAGTTCCCAGGAGTCAAGACTGACTTGAAGACACCAAAACCAAGATTGAAAAAAGAAAAAGAGAACTTTCTTGATATAAACCATAACTGTTAGTAGTTATGACTGCAAAGACAAGGCAAAGGAACTCCTCACCAACAGAAAGTTACTTTTTGGAATACAGTTCTACACAATGAGATGACAGGTGCTACTTAAATAGGAAATTGGTTAAATCCATGGAGAAAGAGCTTTGATTAGTCACCATGACTACTCCTTGGAACCCTTTTCCAGATATAATAAGGGACAAAATAAATTATTCTGTTAGACTTGATGGGTTGACCCAGAAGGAATCATTTTAAGTTCAGATGGCTCATGAACCTGTGAAGGGCCATTAATTTCTACCTCAGTCAATAGATGCTGAAAGCATTCTTTTCACAAGCTTATGCTGTTTATTAAGAAATATGCCTTGCTGAACTTCAGTAAGACTTATTCCCAAGTGGGCCTGTATAAGATGTTTCTAATGGGCTTTGATCTCACCATTGCTCCTCCCCACCTCCCAGAGTATATTTTTCCAAACAGTCATATCCTTGTCTTACAAGGAATAATGATTTTAGTATGTTATGGTGTAAGAATGGTACTGTTTATATAATACCAATCTTACAAATCATATTTCAGGAACAAAGGCGTCTGTATGATTTGCAAAAGCAATGAAACTGTAAGAGCCCAAAGGAGTATAATACACTCAAAATCCATTAGTTTTGCTAGCTTGCCATATAAAAAGCACTTTCTACTTATACATTGTACAAAGATTTGTTTTATTGATATAGCTGTAAAAGAGGCTTTGTGGCTTTTTTTTAAAACCAAGTTAGGGAACTAAAATATAAGGCTGTAACATAGAATTGGTGGAAGAACACAGAGCAGAGGCATTTTGCTGAATTTGAGGGGGAGGAATGGGAGAGTAGCCTTGAAGCCATCTGTTGCCCTTGCTCAAGATGAATGATGCATAGACTGACTTTTCTAGAAACAAAAGATGAACCTCTTGAACCTGGCTGCCTCTGAAATCCTTTGTTCAGCTTATGCTGTTGGTCACATTAATACAGGACAGGAAATGCCATATACAGAATTGGAATATGAGAAGCCAGAATTGGAGAAGTACCTTTGGGGCAGGTGTGATAGGGACCCCTAGATGACAGGCAGTGTTACAGAAACACAATAGGAAATTCAAGTGATCCACCCAAGCTGCTATGCAGGTTTTTTTCCAAACCTATTTAGTACCCTTCAGTAAATAAATAATTTATATAAACTCTCTTTAAAACTAAAATAGAAGTAAAAGACCACATAGAAGCTTAGGTTGGGGAGTCTTTGCATCTTATCTGCAGAGCAGCAAAGTTTACTGATTGACGTTCCCTCCTCTCAGCCTGCACATACCACAAGGTTATTACATTGGTGGGATTCAGCCAGTTCGCACCAGTCTGGCAGAATCGGTAGCTAATTTTTTGTTGCCCAGGCCCAGAATGGACTTCCGGAAGCAGCATCCACACAGAGAACCGGTTGTTCACATATTTGAATCACACCACTGCGTTATTGTAACCCTAAAGAAAGGATCTGCAGCTTTAGTATTCCTTGGAAGGAAGGACAGGATAGGATGTCCAAATTGTATCTTATGCATTTGCTAGATTTTTGTCCTGCTTTTCACCAGAAGCTCAAGGTGATGTATGTAGCATTCCTTCCCCTCATATTGCCTCATAAAAACCCTGTCAGGTAGAGTGGACTGAGAGAGAGGTATTGGTATCCCATGTGAATGGACTTGAAATCAAGTCCACCTGATTCTCCTCCAGCACTTTAACCAATATCCCAAACAAATATGAAAATATACTGCATATTTAGTCATATTTGGATTAATCCACACAATTCCATTCTTTTGAGAGCAAATTGCCTCCCCTCAAGAAAATTCCTGGTACTGTGAGCAATACGAAGGAGGGAATTTATGACTTATTAACAGCACTATGGATAAGTAGTAGTTTTTGCTAATGTACAGGGTCTTTTGGTTCAAGCCACTGAGAGCAATGTTCTATCTTAAACATACTCATAGGTCTATCCACATTTAAATTATGAGGACTGTACAACTCTGACAGTTTAAAATAAATGGATGAAAGAGGAATTTTGGATTAAGTATTACCGTATAGTCATAGAGTAGTTAAGAGTAAATATTAAATAGAGCAATTAAGAGTACATATTAAGCCAGTAAATTGGGGCACTCTAGTCGTCCAGATCTACAACTTCCAGCTTAACTAGCCTGCATAACCAATGCCAAGATTTGCGGGGATTTATAATTTAACAGCATTTGGAGGGCCAAAATTTCCTCAAGCTCACAAATGAAGAGTCTGACATGCATACCCTATTATTCTCAGAGCTTCCCTAGAGGAAAACATTGACTGAATGCTCCCTATACTTTTATCCAAACTAATATTTCAAAATGCCCTGAATTAATCAGTGGCTAGTCCTTCCGGGATTTAACTGAGAAGAAAGGGCAGTCTAGGAGAAAGAAAGTCTCAGGCAAAGGAACTCTATCCTTCCCAATTGTTGGTACCTTTCCTAGGGCATAACCACTAAGGTTGGTGGATGAGTCTTATAGATGGAATCTGGATGGGATCATATTTTCAGCAATCCATGCTTGCTTCCATTATTGAACAAGCTGAAAAAACTTAGTTTTGAGTTATGCTGTCTTAATTGTGAGTTTCTGGTGTTTGTTCTACAAATGTTTGCTAACAAAATTTCTGCTATCCTTTCTTAACAGTCTTTTGCTGGCTGGATTTGCTGAAGTCTTGCTTCTTTACATTGAAAGGACTGGTACATGAACACTGGCAAGTGAAAAATGATTCTTCAATGGGACTCTTCAATTTTTGCTTTAAGAATAAACAATTAATGAAGACGTAGGCAAACAAGTGCAGTCTCATGGTGGCTTTCTCAACAATAGGTCATACTCACAATGAAACTGAGGCATCAGCTCTAGGACAGAGTAGGATTAAATCCATTTGTTCCTGTTTTTAAGCCATATCTTCTATTAATAGCAATGCATAAAAATGGGATTTGATTCTTTTTTTATATATATTATGCTAAAATGAATGATCATCACTAAGCTGGAACTTTTCTGGTACTATTCAAACATTCCCTACTTTTTTCCTCAGGGCCAACCTTCTAATTGTAGTACTCTATTCAGATTATTTTATCAAAGAATGGAATAGATATCCCAACCCCCCCCCCATGAAGCCCTGGGTTGCAGATATTCTGATCTCAAGATGTTTTGCAGATAAACAGTACTTACAGTACGTTCCTCATCAGCTTGGGGTGCCCATTATCTATTGAAGGTAACATGCTGTACTTTCTGCTTCCTTATTTTCCTCCTGACACAGCATGGCAAGATGTCAGCTGCAAAAGTGTGTGAGAGGAATGGATCCATTGGCAAGCATCAGTACCATACATTCCTGGGGGGGGGGCAGTGATACAGATCCAATGACCTTTCATATGATCTGGCCCTCACATGCAATAGTGCTATGTTTTGTTTTACTGAACCAGTGTAGAATGCAGCCAATAATGTAGATTGTTTTTTACACTTGACAACTTTAAGATGTGCAGACTTCAATTCCCCAGCTACAAACCTGCTGTGAGGGAAATATTGGATGCAAGAAAAATCCAACCCAACTATAAATGACCACTCATAAATAAATGATCAGTAACTCTTGATAGGATAAGCACATTTGAAGACTTATCCCTCTTTGTCCAACTACATTAGTTGTGTCAACTCAGGTACACAAAATCATTTGTGCTTACTTCCATACAAGACCTTCTCTCATTGATTCACATACACTAATCTGGTTAAACTGTTAACAAGATACATTAGTTGGGTTCAGACAATACTCCAAGTCACATTATGCTTTTGTATATATGAACACAGCTATCTATCTCCAGTTTGCCTCGGCATGGGCAAAATGTAAGCATACTAGCTAAGTTAATTTTTGTTTCCGTGGGTACAGGGTTATAAGTATATTGTGATTTGGCATTTTTGAGCCTCGTTGCAAAAGGAAATAAATTTCAACTTAGTTGGAAAAGAAATAATAACTCATTGGAAGGTCTTCTCCAACATGAGTCCTTTGTACTTTTTGGCGTGGTAGAGATATAGATCACTGTGAATATTCAAATGTTGACTCTGTTAGAATTGAATGGTAACTAGCAAAGATGTGGTTTAATCTCCACCAAAGTAAGAGCATCACATTCAGTTCTACTTTCTGTATAAAATGAAACAATCTGAGAATAAAAATTTACAAAAAACACTCCATCCCAGAATCTGATGTGTGCCAAGGATTCTGTGGAAAATAAAAGTAAAAATGTGGATGATAATCAGCACATCTGCAACACTAGTTACATTGAATGAAAAATAAAGTGAATCTTATATTAAACACTAGTCTGTTTTTTCACTTATGTTTAGTTATTATTACTATCTAAATATTTATATATATGGGGTATAATACTTACCTGTATGTTGTAATTAGTTCTGACTCTGCATATGTACAAGGAAATATAGTGATGTTGCATACAGTTTTTGAAATTCAGTCTGCAGCATTGCTTCATTTGAATGCAGGCTCGCTCCATAGCAAATATTGGTCTTTGAATCTCTCTTATGCCTAAATATTTTTGCTGAGCAAAAATGCTCAGCATCTGGGTAAGGGGCTTGTTAAGGGCCTTTAAGATACAAATAGTCTTCAACTTACAACAATTCATAAGTAACCATTCAGTTACAACAGCACTGAAAAAAGTGACTTATGACCATTTTTCACACTTACGACATTACACCATCCCCATGGTCACCCAATCAAACTTCAGATGTTTGGCAACTGAGTCATATTTATCACAATTGCAGTGTCCTGGAGTCATGTAATCACCTTTTGCAATCTTCTGAAACAAAGTCAATGGGGAAGCAAGATTCACTTAACAACTGCATTGCTAACATAACAACTGCAGTGATTCACTTAACAAATGTGGCAAGAAAAGTCATAAAATGGGGCAAAACTCACTTAACAACTGTCTTGCTTAGCAGCAGAAAATTTGGGCTCAAATAGTAGTTGTAAGCTGATCTTTATGTCACTGCCATTTTTCAAATCCTCAACAGGACGGAATCATTTGCTTTATTTATTCGAAGCAAAAAAAAAAAAAAAAAAAAACCACCAAAAAACAAATACACACTACATCACTCCAAAAGTGAAATAATTCAGCCAATACTATGATACTTTTATGCAATATTGTTGCTAGAATTTGTCAATTTAGAGAGACAAAAGTCACGACGTTAACCTCATTAATATCTCAGAAAAACCTCATTTTGCAGGTCTCTGAATCTGAATCTCACATTCAGAATAAAAATGTTGTTTAGCTACAGTTAGGCTAATACCTGGTCTAGAACTATGACTCCCAAATTAGCAAAAGCATATGGCTGTGTTTCTTCCTAGAAGGCAAACATTTGATAGACATGATAAATACCGCATGTGTTCTGATGAATTCATAATAGAAGTCCTCTATGCAAAAAATTTTAAGCCTCTCCCCATCAAACATGTAAAAAAATCTCTACACCAGAGTTTCTCAGCCTTGGCATCTTGAACAGAAATGGACTTCAACTCCCAAAATTCCTCAGCCAGCATGCACTTTTGGGAATTCTGGAAATTGAAGTTCACATATCTTCAAGTTGCTGCAGTTGAAGAACACTGCTCTACACTTAGACATCTGTAGATCTGTAGGGACCCTTACCCAGATGAAAACCAGTAGATGGTCAACTGCCTTCCTCAAACGTGAGGCTTATTCAAATGGTATTTATATATAAATATACCGAAATGTTAGATATTAAGCTATTATGTTTAAGCTTTAGTCCTAGAATGCACTATCTAAAAACTATAGTAATACACGTGTCCTCCAAAGTCTTGTGTGCAACCAAAGTAGACTTTGCTCAACAACTGAGATTCCAGTCTCGATTGGTTCACTCGTAGATTATTACAGCATAATAAATAAAGGTTCACTTGTATATTATTACAGGATAATAAACAATAACATTATTCAATATTATTCAGGCTGAATTTAAATAACCTTAAATTTAATTCAGTTTTCTCTCAACCATGTCTATTCCCATCCACTTTTGGGGCTTTGCCTTCTCTCAGAATATTAAGAGGCCTTAAAGGTTCTGTGCCATTCCAGTACAATCCATGCTGATCTAGGGTGAAGTCTCTGCCAATGGAAGTTTCTAATTAAACTACTGTTGCAATTAAATCTGGAAATGTGTGTAGGCAAAGTGTATGTTCCTTGCATTCTGCTATGGCCTAAATTATTTGTAATTTAATGTATCATTATAGACATTTTCAATATTATGAGATACAACCCAATATTCAAAAGCAAAAATTGATTCAACATTCTTATTTTTTCTATTGAGAATGTAGTGAAAATCATTAAGAAAAAAGCTTTAATAAGAATTTATTCTTTCCAATGAGTTTCTGTTATATTACATATTTTGGACTTTCAAGATTAATGTATTTTCTAAATACACCTTCTTAGTAAAAACAATTATTTTTGAAGGACAGCTTTATGAAATTGTACATCTACTTCCTTCAGTTTCTCGAAGAAACTTTTATGTTGAGACTTTGGTTTAAATTAGGTGCAAAATCAATTCATCTACAGTAAATACCTATGAAAGTCTATTTAATGAAAGATTTTTAAAAAATTGTCTAGCAGTCCTAATTATTAGTATTATTTAGAATACACCAGCATTTTTCCTACAGGTAAACATTAGAAAATATCCAAAATATAAATGGATAGTTCTGAGTCCTTTTAATGAAAAGAAGTGACTATTTTAGATAGCTGAATGGAGTTTCCTAATCCAATGACGGAACAGCTTTGATTTGGATTTCTATATCATTAATCAAAATAAGGGTTACCTTAATTAATTATGAAAGATTTTTCTTCACAAGGATTATCTTTCATACTAAAAAAACATATGGTCTCTCATAATAAAAAAATATTTGGATTTTGAAAATTGTGATCTTTGGATTTTCTCATAATATTATGAGATGTAGATAAGTGTTCTGCAACAACTTCAAGGAACAAACTGCTCTTATTCACATGGCTGAAATTCTAATACTGAAAGAACCTGCTGTGGAACTGATGATCTACTATTCCTTAAATAGTAGATTTAAATCTCTGAGAATACACTGGATATAAAAATTCTATACACTCATTAAAATGGCAGATTTTTGAAATGTAAACATATCAAACCAAGATAAATCACTTCAGAGTTCTTTCCACCTTTAATATACATTTTAAAACTCAATTGAAAAACAAACTGAAAACTTTTAGGAGGAAAAATAACAATACTAATGTACAATAACATGATTGCATAAAGATGGTTGCATAAAAATACTTTGTTGAAGCACCTCTTGTTTTTATGACACCATTTAGTCTTTTGGGGAAGAAGCCTATCAGCATGGCACATTTTGCCTTGGGAATCTTTGCCCACTCTTCATTGCAAAAGTGCTCCAAATCTGTCAGATTGCCAGAACTTCTCCAGTGTACAGGCCCTCTTCAGATCAGCCCACAGATTTTCAATTGGATTCAGGTCCAGGCTCTTGCTGGGCCAATCCAAACCCTTTCTGGTGAAGCCATTCTTGTGTTGATTTGGAGGAATACTTTGGGTCATTGTCCTGTTGAAAGGTGAAAGTCCGTTTCATCTTCAGCCTTCTAGCAAAGGCATGAAAATTGGTGCCAAATTAGACTAATATTTGGAACTGTTCATAATTCCCTCCACCTTGATTAAAGCTTCAGTTCCAGCCGAAGAAAAGCAACCCCAAAGTATAATGCTGCCACTACGTTTCACTATGAGTATGGTGTACTTTTGGTGATATGCAGTGTTGTTTTTGCACCAAAAAATCTTTTTGGAATTATGGCCAAAAAGTTCAACCTTGGTCTCATCAGACCATAACACACTTTCCTATAAGCTTTCGCCTGTAGGTTTTTTCCCAACTGTAGCCAGAATTGAATATTTTTCTTTTAAGAAAAGGCTTCCATCTTGCTACCCTACCCCACTGCCCAGACATATGAAGAATACAGGAGATTGTTGTCTCATGTAGTACACAACCCATACTTGCAGAAATTCATGCAGCTCCTTTAATGTTGCTGTGGGCCTCTTGGCAGCTTCTTGGACTAGTTTTCTTGGGTTTTTTTCATCAGTTTTGGAAGGACATCCAATTCTTGGTAATGTCACTGTTGTGCTATTTTCTCCAGTTGTTGATAACTGTCTTCACTGTGTTCCATGGTATGTTCAATAATTTTTTTTTGGGGGGGGGGGGGAAATTGTATCCTTCTCCTGACTGATACCTTCCAACAATGAGATCTCTTTGCAGACCATGGCTTTTGCTGTAAAAGGCAACTGAATAAATGTCAGTAAAATCCTACTCACACAGCTGAACTTTATATGGGCTTGATGAGAGTCACTTTAATTGATGGCAGGTTTGAATTATTTAACATCAGTTTGAGTGTGGTTGGTTAATCCTGAACACAGCCACACCACCATTTACAAGAGTAGTGCAGCCACATTATTCTAGTTTTTATTGTTATTTTTCCCTCAAAAAGATTTCAGTTTGTTTGTCAAGTGAATTGTTCGGCTTATACAGTATGTTATATTAAAGGCGGAAAGAACTCTTTCTAATCACTTTCGGAAGTTTCTTGTTAACTACTTATCAATTATTATGAACCTTTGGATGATACGTTTCATAGCATATTGAATTCCTACATTGGATTTTCAAAAAAAGAGACGTTAAATTTTGAAGAATTTTGTGAAATGGGGCAAAAAAAAAGAAAGTTCTTTATTATTTGAAGAGACTAAAAGATCAAAATTGTTAGAAGTAAAAATAAGGAATATAAAGTTGATTTATTTGACCAAGTTAATATATTGTTATTTTTGTTAACCCTTATTGAACCTTTGCTGACATCAGGACTGAAATGATAATGTTTCATGGATTTTTTTATAGAGGAGATGGGCTATGGCAGGGGTGTCAAACTGCCAGCCCGCGGGCCGGTTGCATCATACGGATGCCGTGCTCACCCCAGCTCCGGCAATGCGAAAAAGTCACTATACGTCGTGACACGTCATGTGACGCGGTGAGTTTGAAACCCATGGGCTATGGAAAGAAGAAATCATTTGTTGCATTTTAAGAGAAGATGATAAAGTTATACTCTTCTATGTTTTCAGTTTGTATTAGTTTTTTACTTTTGTAATTATAATCTTTAATTAAATTACTATAAAAATTACAGAGTGGGATACCATAAGATCCAGATTTGGTTCTAGTACTCGGGATTGAGATGGAAAAAAATACTTATCAAATAGGTAGGTGGCACAAAATTGGGTGAGATAGGTAATAACCTTGAAGA